TTCGTTCATTTGCTCCTGAATTGTGGTCACGAAAGTGGAAGCTATGAGATTCTGATTTTGAGTGCGGATGTGGGAAATGCTGGTGAAATTCTCATAAGTGAGGATAGCAGCTTAATTCTACCGCCCTGAGAAAGTACATGAAGAGAGCTTCCCAATGATATGCAGATGTTATATCGAAAAAGAAAGTCTGATGGGAAAAAAGTTGTTGTTTGGAACGTAGGCTAGAAAAACGGACATTATCTTTGCAACAACCTAATACATCACTCTCGTCTGCGTGTGGTACTGGTTGTGTGCTTCTTATAATGAAATAAGATCAAGTATATGTACTCTGGGCCAAATTCGTTAAGACATCTTGCCCTGAGAAGTGGCTGAGCTTTCCCTACTTTTCCTTCTAGAAGTGTCCCAAAGCCGTACCATGGCGGAGGAACAGATCCATCTCGTGTTCTTGTTCCTGTTCCTTGCCTTCAAAAACTTCAAATTGTAGGTGTTTTGTAAATTATAGAAGCCCTGTTTTCTGAGATGATGCTTTCTCAGGCCTGCTTTCCTCATAAAAAGATAATGACTTTTCTTCTAGTGCTACAAATAGCTTTTTCGTTTCCTATCCCACGATTAGAGAACTATCATTCCCTTGAATGTATCTAGCGAATAAAGTAATGACTGCATTTAGGGGAATTTTCTTAAAACAGTTGCCTTTCCTGTTTTTGCTAATCTTGAAATTAATCATAATTTTCGTGGAATGCACTTGTCTGGCTGACATCCTGTTTACCTCCTTGGAATTCGCTGTCGAGAAATCGACAAGGACCTACGTAATAGGGCAAAAAAATTAGCGGGTTCCATCACAGCGCCTTGAAAGCTGAAGCAATAGAGCGTCGCAAAATTATCGCCCATCTTCTTCTCAATATTTTTCGAGCTTTCAATTGTATATATATAGTTTTCAATACGAATAGTAATAGTGTCAATTTTAGCTGACAGATGTTCACCTTTGACTGATGCAAGCAATCGTATTTATGGGCTATGAACCATCGTTGCACTCTATAGGTACACTATGCTATAGACATTGTCGAAAATAGCAGTGCGCTCACTCTACTGACTAAGAAGGTTAATGACATCTTCATCCGTTGAGAGAATTGCCTCTCTGTAATCAAGTTTTCGATGCGGAAAGAGGGTTTGCAGTAAGAGACAAAATCTTAGATTGCTGCAAAAATTTACATCCAACAATTTTCTACACTTTGATATGCAATAAAGATATCAATAGACTAGTCAGGATGTCTTGAGCGAATCTGAAAAAATTATTATGTCGAAAAAAAAAAGAGCATTGAGCATAGCTACGTCGACAAAAGCTCGTTTTCTGAATCTATCTTTAAGTCCGTAAGTAAATACTTTACACAGTTTCTGGTGCAGAATTCTTTTCTTTTTGCAATATGTGACAAGGCATTCCTTCTGTAACCTTGTTCACCTTGTCTGGCTTTGACTAATTTTCAAAATTATTGCAAATGGGTACAAATCTTCGCTTTGCTCAAGCTTGTCTCAGAACTTCTAAAGTCTATTTTTCAAAATTACTGAGTTCTGTATTCGGTTTACTCAAACTTCACAGAGTATGAACTGGTAAGCAGTTTGTGTAGTCATTTTCTTCTTCTCTTTTATAGCTAATCCTTCTTTGCCATACATACGGAAATTATTAGGTTGTCCCAAAAGTAAACCGTATTTTTGAATAAATCAGACTGTTTCTATTTTCTTGGCAGACTTGGGGTACCATTTGAAAGAGCGAAACAAGCTCTGCAAAATGACCACCAAGGATCCGCCCAAGTCGCATTCCATGTAAAGTTTGTAGCCAAAATCGAAAAAAAATTTATTACCTGAAAATTGGATTTCTGCGATGAAGAATCTCACAGACTTCCAACTTGGTCATTATACAGTAGACACATAGTAGTGCTCAAATATGCCTTTGCCGAATTTTTTCCGAGCATAGAAAGCGAGAAACAAAAATTGCCCAAAAATGGCAAACTCCGCCCTCAGCCCCTCCCACATATGTCACTGTATACTACAAGCCTTACTAAGTATAATTTCAAAAACGTACCCTTGTATGTGCTCTTATAATCGAGAAATACCAAGTTTTACATAAAAATCAACCAAAAACATTTTTCGATATTACTATGTGTCTACTATAGAAGGATCAAGTTGGGAGTCCATGGGAATTTTCTGGAAGGAGATCCGATTTTAAGGTGGCTGAAAAATTTCGATTTTTGGGTCCAAATTTTACCTGGATACCGACTTAGGCGGTTCTTTGGTGGTCGTTTTATTGAGCTTGCTTCGCTCTATCGAATGGTGCCCCAAGTCCGCCAGAAAAACAAGAACAGTTTGATTTAAGCAAAAATACGGTTTACTTTTGGGACAACCTAATACAAACAAATTAGTCTATTTCTCAGCTCTACATCTGCTTTGATACTCAGAAAGCGGAAGACATTTCGAATACAATTGCTCGGGATGTTTGTCTACCTTTTTTCTGAGAGAGCGGTTAGGTCCAAAAAGCGGTACGAACTTTTGTATCGATTATGTTTTCTATAGTAATGCAGAAGTCATTGATATAGATGCGAAAAATCGAGAAACAAAGATCGTTCTTAAGGACACTCAATCAGCCATTTCCTTGCTAAATATTTTTACGAAATCTAATCAATTTCTTTGCCAATAAGTTAAAAGCTTTCATAATTTTTTGAATGCCTCCACTTGTAATCAACACTCCTTTTTCTGGGATCAGGCATAACCATGAACATGGAGATCTACAAATTCTGAAATTTTGTGCATTACTTTTAACTCAACCTAATTCAAGAAAACCATCAATGGACAGGATAGTTGGGGTAAAAGTATACTTACAAAAATCTACTATGGGGTATTTCCAGAAATGCATTGTGTTTGTTCGAGCTTGCATTCTTCTGCACTTTTGCGTATACTGGTCTAGTCAGTGCTCTACGGATGTCTGCAACTCGCTGCAAAATAATCTCTTCCAAATCCAGCAGAGGCGGGGGTAATTCGGCGTTCAAAACAATCGCCTGCCAATTTTCGCATCACTTAGACGGAACTGAGCTTCGAATTCTTTGAATTGCACTCGTCAAATCGAATAGGCTATCGCTATTCCCGTATAACAAGCTTAAATGGCCGACGTCAAAGAGCAGAAAAAGACTTTACGATTTATCAAAGAGCAAACTGCGGTTTGTTTTTGCTCTGGTCAGTAGATAACTGCTACTCACTCACATGACCTTTAGTAGCAAAAAAGACTATTTGACCGACCATAGGTCGTCAGCCATCTACAAAATTAGCTTCGTTCAAATGCCGCATAAGTTTTTCCCATTTCTGGGGCGATTGCAGGTTGCTTCATATTAGGATTGGTTGGTTGACTAAGTCAATGACATTGTCTTTTTATATTGGCATTGTCACTGACTTTATTGAAAATTTGTTTTGGGATTTTATTCCCAAGGAAACTGTTAAAGCGTTACGTGTAGTAGATAATTTGTGTGGATTGCCATAGTAGTAGAGAATCCCAATTTGGCTGAGTCAGCTCGTACCGATTAGGTTTCAATGTCAGAACCACTTGCGGAGTGAGATGATTGCTACTAGCTTTGTCATGTTGTCTCTCACGTCGTTCTAAAATATAGATTGTGTCAACATGGAAAGAAAGTTCACGTATCTTGATCTTAGAAGAACATTATAATTGAAGATTTATTCAAATTGTCTTTCTCCACTTCCTTGATTTGATTTTGGTCTTCATGCTTGCAATAGCTATGTATCTATATGCACTGTGTTCCATGCTATTGGAGTCACGGATTCAGTCATCTATCGACTACTGAATAATCTTTTTTAAATCTTGTATTCAACTTCAATTTAGTAGCAGATGCTTCCTGAAGAACTTCCTTTTAGAAAAATGGTACACTATTTTTGTACCAGGACAACTAATAGCAATTTGTGAGAAAGCTTTTTAAAGCCATTGATAAATCGGTGGAGATTGGAAAGTACTTTGTATATCTATAACCAAACCTACTGCAAGCTTCAATATAGGATTTCGTTAATTCATCTGCTGTTACTTGACGTATTCCATTTCACTCTGTTCACAAACATCGTCTATACCTCACGCCAAATCCTTGAAGGTCAAATTTTTGCTCAGATTCAGAATAACCGTGATTTTGTGTGTATCTGCTGACTGCTAGACTTCTACCCCTAGCAACTTACTGGAGCTTGTTTTGAACTGTACACATGTGTAATTAGGTGTTTGGAAAAGAAACTAGATTTGTTATGTAGAATCTATGAAACAAACAAAAGGTCAATTTCTTGTGATAACTCACCTTTATCATACTAAAACTGAGGAAATGAAGAATATGGCAAATTGTACTTTGGCAGAAAATGTTATTCAAAACAGGAAGCAAGTCAAATAACTTTCTTAATGGACGCCTACTCTCGATAGAAATAGTAAAGAAAACGCAGTTCATGGTATGCAAAGGGTATTCAGGGCAATTTATCTACCATTAACACTCCTAATAAAACCTGACGTTTTCTCAATAATACGCTGTTTTTCTTATTTGATAGGCTAAAATGGAATTGATAGCGAATTTTACATGAATAAATCTCTCATAACCAAGCGAACGCTTGTCAGCAATGGATTCATTCTGGGAGCAATTGCCTTCGTTGATGCTATTCTTAGTTCCTTGATATTATTATGCTCTACCATCATAGTATTGACGAATGCCAAATACATCCAATGTTCCGCTTTCTCATTACGCGGCCAAATATTCTAGGGTTTTAGAGCGTTGTCGTTGAACTACAAAGACATTTTAGCCTTCATATGCCAATTTGAATTAGCGTTTCACTTCACACACTCTGGTGTATTTCTTTTTCTTGAGAGAATCTTGTACAACTATTGCTACTTTTTATCATTATAATTACTATACAAAAATGCCATTTGTATCTGCCGTGTGAATTCCATCAAGCAGAAGACATTTTCTGATTGTTGCAGGTAAACTCAGAAATGCAATCCAGCGTCCAAATTGCCTTCCTCTGCGCCCTCCTTGTCGTAGTCGGTAAGATTTTATGTGATTCGGCATTTTTTGTGTTCTTTGTGTGAAAATCGCTTTATATTCATTCAATCATAATAGGATAGAATGGTTGGATCAATAATTTTTTCAACATGGGATCTAATTATTGCTTTAGGTAATTACTTTAATTTGTTCAGCCGTTATTGAAAGTTCATTTCATACTTTAAAAAACAAGTTTTTGATGTTTGATAAGAATTGTTTCAAATTTGCTGTTAAAACAAAAGCCCAGTTGTGTGCTTTTATCTCTAATTCTCAACACATTAGTTCTTGACTTAGATTGCTTTTCGTATTGTGAATATTCGAATGAGATTATTTAATAACTAGTCCATACAAACTTTGCTGTTCAGCGAAAAATTGGTCTATGCTCCGCAAAAATTTCATAAATTGCCTGCAATTCAGTTGAATTTTCGATTTTTCTTTTGCAATTCGTCCTCATCTAGTGTGGATTGCTGGTATATTCTGATTTGCTGGGACCAGTGAGAACAAAAACATTAAAGCCAAACGTTGCAATGTTTCCAATGTTCTCCATTGAATAGAGGTTGCAAAATAAATGGATTGATTTATTAATCTCGTGTATAGCAATCGTTTAGCTTGTTGCCCTTTGATTCTCAAAATGCTCAATTCCCAAAATTTAGCGGATTTTTTGTTGTGTGATCTCTTCTTCTAAAAATCTTTGTTCTAATACAAAGTGTATCTGATAATGCTAAACATCCACGTAAAATTCGTAAGCTTTTATGAAGAAAAATAACCAGAATCATTCAGTTACATATACGTTTTGTCCTCCACTCCGTAGTAAAACTTCAGTGTTCTCTGCAGAGCATTTGCGTAGGAAGATTGCCTTGACTTTCCAGATTTGACAATGACTTGCACTTTTGAATAGTTGAACTTTTAGTGTCTTCTTCGAGGCCCTCTCAACCGCCGAAAGCTTGTACGGCTGAGGAACACGCTGAAATGCCATGCGTGTGTTGCAAAAAGGACTGCTGGTACACAGTTGCTTCGGTCAGTAAAACTCATTTTCCACAAAAAAATGCTTGTGCTAAACCTGGTGTCCATGTGCAGGCTGCGACACACGAGCTAGGTCATATGCCGGGAGAGGCAGGAGAACGAGAAGCGCTGGCAACGCTGCGCCTCATTCGAGCCTGCATGATCAGCGACTGTGCAGACCTTTGTCTCGTCCGCATCCCATATTAAGCAGTGACTGATATTTACTTCGCTTCGCACCATCTATTGCCACGAACGGTCCTCTAAGGGTCGTTGTGACTCAACCTCTCAGTTTCCAAGTTAACCTTGTTTTGTTCATGCATAGGTAGACAAGCAGCTGAAGAGACTGCACTTCATTTGCCGTTTGAATTGGGTAAACGCACGATCTCCTTTATCCGTAAGCTTCCATATTACGTGCTGATTGCATTCTATGTGAATAAAGAGAATTAGAAGGAAGATAGAAGACGCAGAAAAACATTTTTACAACTAGCTGGCGTTCCCAGTCTCACCGAGACTCTGAATTAGTTTATCAAATGTTTCACGTACACTTTCAAACTTCTTTTACCATGCGCAAAAACGCTTGGAGACTGATCGGCCGCGTCCTGCCGACCTCGGGATTAGAATGAGCTTTACGCCCTTGGGTACATATTTATTGGAAAATGATTGGTTAGAGGCATGTCAAACTCTCATTTTCCCCAATTTGAGTGAACAAATCAATAAATTGATAGAAGAACCCCCCAAATCGCCGCAAAAAGTCATATATTAGGTTGAACAGAAAGTTCTGTCGCACCATTTTCAAAAAATCATAACTTCTTTCGGTCACGACGATTTTGCGCAATTCAAATTTTGTCAGAAAGCGTAAAGCATGTAGTTTCCAAAAGCTTTATGGGGAGTTTTCGACATGTGCAGGTGGCAGAGATAAAAATGAGAGAACGAGATCATCCGAAATTCGGAATTTTTTAAGCAAGAATTCTAGAAATTTAGAAACAGTGCGATAAAATCCAGAAAAGCCATTATCCTAATTTTTCTTACATTTGATTACTATTTGAGTCAAGTTTGTGCTGATCCAGCTCTTTTTTCAAAAGTTATGATTTTTTGAAAAAAATGCCGAAAATCAACTTCCTAAGGATTCTTAAGAAATCGATTTTTCGGCATTATTTTTCAAAAAATCATAACTTATGAAAGAAGGACTCGATCAGCACAAACTTGACTCAAATAGTAATCAAATGTAAGAAAAATTAGGATAATGGCTTTTCTGGATTTTATCGCACTGTTTCTAAATTTCTAGAATTCTTGCTTAAAAATTCCGAAATGCGGATGGTCTCGCTCTTTCATTTTTATCTCTGCAACCTGAGCATGTTGCGAAGTTCCCAGGGAACCCTTGGAAACACATGCTTTACGCTTTCTGACAAAATTTGAATTGCGCAAAACTGTCAAAAATGAAAAAAGTTATGATTTTTTGAAAAATGTGCGACAGAACTTTCGGTTCAACCTAATAAAGTGCGGTTCATAATTATACGAACACCTTGAATTTTGAAAGTTTTTGGACTTTTTGGAAGAAACTCAAAAAGCCGTTGGTACCACGCGATAGAGCACAGCCGAAAACGGTATATGATCCATAAGAATGGAAATCGATGTCAATCTTAGGAGTGTTTTTGCGCTTAATGCGATTTTTTAGCGGTTCATAATTATACGAACACCTCATACAAAGGTCCATTTTACATTCAAGATTGCAATCTTTCGAGTCCAAATTTTTTGTAGAGTTACAGTAAGAAAGTCTGACATATGTGCTACCACTGAACCCAGTGCAGTTCAAAAAGAGGACCGTTACTTTTTTTTCAGAAGGCTGTAAATGCCTTTGGAGTGATTGCGCTCCAAAAACATCCGTTCTTCTGTAGTTCACGCACTCTAATTAGCTTCCACTAAGGCTATGAGATGAAACAAGCTTCTTCGGTAGGTTATTTTGTTTGACGCTTGCAAAATCTATGCGTTTTCGTGCCGCTTTTCAACCAAGTTCCAACCTCACCTTAAAGTTAGCACGATTTCGAGCCTCAAAACTCAGCTTCTTTCTTGCGCAAACATTCGATAATGAAGCAGCTGCATTGTTTGCATGATGATGTTTCTGTGCCAAAGTTTTTGGGTTTTTTGTAGAGCTGATCTTGAGGCTGTGGAGCTACAAATCAAATAAAGGTGTGATTGCAATAGTAAAAACAGTGGTTTTGGTGAAATGAAGTCTGCGTGGCCGAAACAAACTCAATGCTGTTGATTTTTTCTAGCCAAATACAATGTCTTGTGAACTTCTACATACTATAAACTTACTTCATTGTAGGGCTTCAGAAGCTGAGTTTAGAGGCTCGAAATCATGCTAACCCTAGGGTAAGTTTGGAACTTGGTTGAAAAACGGCACGGAAACACAAAGATTTTCTAAGCGTTAAACAGAATACCTAGCGAAGGAGCTTATTTTATCTCATAACCTTGGTAGAAGCTAATTAGAGTGCGTGAACTACAGAAGAATGGATGTTTTTGGAGCGCAATCACTCCAAAAGCATTTAGAGCCATCTGAAAAAAGTAAAGATTCTCTTTTTGAACTGCACTGGGTTCATTGTGTAGCGGATGTTTCAGACTTTGTTACTGTAACTCTACAAAAAATTTGGACTCGAAAGATTGCACTCGCGAATAAAAAATGGGCCTTTTCTTGAGGTGTTCGTATAATTATGAACCGCTCAAAATTCGCATTAGGCGCAAAAACACTCCTAAGGTTGACATCGATTTCCATTCTTATGGATCATATACCGTTTTTGGCTGTGCTCTATCGCGTGGTACCAACGGCTTTTGGAGTTTCTTCCAAAAAGATCAAAAACTTTCAAAACATAAGATGTTGGTATAATTATGAACCGCACTTTATAAAGCTGAATGTCTGTTTGTCTGTCTGTCTGTCTGTCTGTATGTCTGTCTGTATGTCTGTCTGTGCGTATGTTCCGAATAGAAAATTCCATTTCTGAACCGATCGGGACCAAACTTGGCACACATACACTTCGGGCCCCGGCGGGTGTCATAGGCTACTTTTCGTCATCGATCGATATTGATTTTATCGATTTTTTGCAAAATTTGAGCTACAGGGCTGGAAGTTGGCACAGGGGGTAATCGAGCATGCTGATCACCCCCGTGGGGGTGATCAGCATGCTCGATTACACCCCCCTGCCAAATTCCAGCCCCCTAGCTCAAATTTTGCAAAAAATCGATAAAATCAATATCGATCGATGACGAAAAGTAGCCTATGACACCCGCCGGGGCCCGAAGTGTATGTGTGCCAAGTTTGGTCCCGATCGGTTCAGAAATGGAATTTTCTATTCGGAACATACGGCGGAGCCGGGTAAGCTAGCTAGTAGCCTATAATCTGCGCAGGAATCGAAGACATATTTGTGCAAAGTTTCAGCTCAGTCGGTTCAACGGCGTTCGCTTCTATAAATCACAAACAAATAAACCGGAAGATCTCAGTCTAGGGTTCATATCGCACACAGGTGTAATACAAAAAATAGGCGTACCTTAACAATTTTTTATGAGGAGGATTAGATTGGCAGGGAGTAAATTACGGCAAAAAACAAACAGCCCACCGAATGACTACCGAGAAAATTCAAAAAGATCCGTGAAAAATGGCCAGTTACAATGTATCTACAATATTCGGAAAGGAACTTTCATAGCTCATCTGAGTCAAATAGTGCCCTTGAATTCAGATTTAGTTCACTACGAAGCGAGATATGTCGATACTAATATCACTTCAAAACGCAAACGCTACCTTAGATCGTGCTTGTAAGCCATAAGTAAGTGTTTGCTTAAGAATAGCTTCACTTTTTCTTATAACCCCATAAAGCCTCGAATTTTACAAATTCTCAAAGAATCTTTAGCTTTGTTAATTTCGTCATAAAAAACGAGCGGTTTGTGCCAATTTGTAGCTCAACCTACAAGACAATTCACACAATATTAAGAGGTGAGGGCGGCAATATCGAAGAGACGGAAATTGCGAAACTTAGTTAACAACGTAATAGTATGCATGTGATAGTTATCTGTACCGTAGAGTAGATTGGACCATCGTGCATCCAGCTGCTCAGCGATAAATGTTTAATCAAATTGAAGACATTGAACTATTTGAGTTTCGCTTCGTACTAATCCAATCCTAATTTCGATTCGATGGCGTTCGTGCACTTCTACCATTCGAGAGTGGTTCTTCTGCTGGTGCAGATTGTAAATCAGCAATCGAAGTGCTTGCAGGCTCCGTTTTCATCTCCTTAATCTGAAACGCATATTCAAGTAGGAGATATCTTGATGTTAATGGCAGCGTGTTTTTTCTATTCTCTCATGTAGTTGTAGAATTGATGCTTGCTTGTTAAAGTCACCCGTAAAATCTGTGTGACTTCGCGAAGCTTGACGATTTTAGACGCAACTATGTCATACAATGATGGAACGAAGGAGAAGACATGCTGAAGGTGCTCCACACAACTAGAAAAATTGTGCGAAAAAATTTTTTACTTGCAATTCCGATCAATTGTTAGCTTTTTTAGAGAAATTTCGTGCCTGTGCTGTAATATTGCCCGAAAAAATCTAGAGAGCATTCCAAAACAATTCTTGAAGGACGTGAATAACGCTATGTCCATTCATTTGAGAGAAATTTCTGTCGCCCTCCCCTCCGAAGTTTTTCTCAGAATGCCGCTGTATTGGAACGCACCCTATTTTCAAGCCGCACCCAGTCTGCACTAAAGGAGCAGACCTGTGCCCCCGAACCTGTCGTTCTTCCCTATTATCTCCACACTTAACGCGCGAGATAATAATTTCTGCATGTATGCAAGAGTAAAAACGGTCATTTCTGTGAGCCATTAGTGGTCATCATGTTCCTCTGCCTAAACGTTCAGCTAATAATTCCAAAATCACATAGGTGTTATTCAACTCAAACTGGAAATGTGCCTAAGTTAAATGCCACATATATAGTTAACAACGGATCACTCTCTCACAGCTTGCTATAAGCTCCTCCAGCTTGTGGCCTCCGTGAACGACATCTCTTCGTGCGAATATTCTTATATAGTTTTTGACTGATTTGCACCCGATACTTTCAAGCTAGAGAAGACTTCCTGATTAATTCTATCCCACCTTTGTATTCAATTTTTTGCTCTAAAAACTCTCATAACTTCTTGTCCAGAAATTTGCAGCAGATAATGAAGGCAGACTGGGAATTCAGCGTTCATGCTGCAGTATACATCTTTTCCAAGAAGTCACTTCGGCTAACCAGCCTTTCCTTGTTAGACGTATTATTCGATTCAACTGGCTTGGCGGCTGAAAGGCGGAGCTTTGTGACGTAATTAAGGCCGCTCGCGTCCTCGACGCACCTGCGTTTCTCTCGCGTGAGTGCTCATTACCTAGCCTTAATTAATTCACGAAGCCCCACCTTCCCGAAGCCAAGCCAGTTGAATCAAATGGTAAGATGGCCAGTCGAGGAGATAGGATCGCAAGCGAATCGCCAAGATGGACAATAGATGGGTAGATAGACGACAAATCATTCTAGATCTCGTGAGGAAACTTTCTGACCACGAACAAGGAGACTCTTATCAACCAACTGCCGCATATCCTTCTTCCTGGCGTTCGTTTTTTTGGCGTGATACTTCATGCGTTTTGCAGCTCGAGAAGAGCTTGGAGGTTACATTCGTGAAAACTTTTGTAGCGTTGTAGATGCAGAACGTGAGGTAGTCTCTATGGCGTGTCGTTCCTTGCCATTTTCCGATCCAAATGGCGCCTTAAGCCCAAGGCATACCTCCAGCAAATCCACCAAACGCCGAAAATCCGCGGCTTGGCATTTTGTCACATCTTTATGCATTTGCCGTGGGCAGCTCTTATATGCATAGGTACTTAGCTTTTGCTTAATTTTACAAACGCATGAAGTTTTGCCTCAACAAAATGCGTTCACGCCCAATGATGAAGAGTCGTTCAGTGCCGAATCGCGCAACGATTGATCCCGTGAGTTATACCCTAGGCCTTATGCAGCGTCCTTGTCTTCTAACAAGGAAAGGATACTTAGTCGAAAGCACCAATCCGGATGAGACACATGTCATCTTAAAGCGCTTGAAGCGTTGATTCCAAATCTGTAGTATATAGCAGCGGAGCGGTTTTGTAGAAGGAGTTGAGGGGTTTTTCTCTTTGGGGTTGAGGCGCCCTCCAGCAAGTCTCCCCTTACCCTACTGGTACCAACTGGTAGCAACTGGCTAGTGGTAAGTAATTTGAATGAAGATTACATTAAGGATTATAATACTCGTATTACTTTGATTTTTTAACACTTCCAATTTCAATTAGCATCAATATCATCCGAAATTTCAGGCTTTAGGGCTCTAGAGCCATTTAAAAGTTCGAGAATTACGAAGTTGCATGCGGAGGGGATTAAAACCTTGGCACTCTCTTTATCAAGCAAGGCACTTACCACTGGGCCACTTGCCACCAGTTGGTACTCCCTTACAATGCTCATAGATAAGGGAAGACCTGCTGGAGGGCGCCTCAACCCCAAAAGGAGCCACCCTCATAACTCCTACAAAACCGCTCCGCTGCTAAAAACTACAGATTTGGAATCAGCGTTTCGAGCGCTTTAAGATGAAATGTGTCTCATCTGGATTGGTGCTTTCGACTATTAAGGAAAGTTACCTAACTTAGCTCGGCCTTTTGGTAAAAGGCGCCTATATTCTGAATCAGATTCAAACGCTGATTCCAAATATGCTATCCCTAGCTGCCCGAGTTATGGGCTTTTTCCTATGCAAAGTTAGCATACTATTGAACATGAGAAGACTGCCTGTAGATAAAAATCTGCAAGAAAAAGGTGCTGAGGTATCGAAATAGTACAAATCCAATCTTTTCTCACTAAAATAAGCTTAACGCAGGTGTATCTGCACTTGAGTGATGATGACGTGATGCCCTTGAGTCGATGAGCATGCCAATTTTGGGCAGGAAAAAGCCCATAACTCACTTTGGAATGGTCCGTGGCACCTGGATATAGCATATTTAAAATCGGCGTTTGAAGCTGACTCAGACTATATATGTCCCTTGCCAAGAGGCCGAGCTAAGTTAGGTAGACCCTTGTAAGTATCCTCTCCTTGTAAGTGCGGTCGTCGACAGGATGTTAAGTGGGAACCGCCAGCGATTTTTACCCTGAAACCAGACGGGAAGGGATCTGGTCCGGCCTGTTCTTAGCTAGGCATCCGGCGAAGTCGAAGATTGGAGCCTTCACAGCTTGGAGACCCTACCAAAGCTACCGGCTGTACAATGCAGTTCGACACGCGGTATCACTCCGCTACGTTGAGGCCGCGGACCATAATGGGGAAAAGGTTTAACATCAGTATTAGCATTGATAGGAAAAAACACGAGACGTTAAAAGACTAGAACTTAGATGGCTCGACAGCTCTGAGAAGAATTATCAAATGAACATTTACTTTGACTTTCACGAATAGATTGTGGACAAACGTAGCAGATATATGGCCATACTCTGGATTTTTTACTTGCTTTCGGAGAACATAGGCACTATTATTCTTAGCAAAGATGCACAAGGCTTATCAAACGTTTAGTATTCGAAAAATGATTGGTAGTGTTTTGCTTTGCAATCTAAGGCTTACTTCTTCGAGTTTACTTCTAGTATCCTTTACTGATTTGAGTTGAGTGCGATCCAGTGGCAAAGCTTTTGATGTTTCGAGGTCTTTCTGGCAATGTAACATGATAGTTGCCGCTTTTGAGTTTAAGGTACAAACACAAACCTTCAGTTTTGATTTCACGTTGCTTTGATGTGTTTGATCCTAAAATATGAAATTGTGATTTGTGTGCCAGACAATGATACTATTTGCAACAATTCTAACTGTTATTAAATTAGCCAGTGTTCAAAGCCCAAGCGGACTTTGTTTTTTCTACCTGATATAGGATCTTAGCGTCGTTGATGATTGGGGCTATAAGTCTGAGCAATATAGATGTAGAATTATTAGGTTGCAGATTCAAAGGCAGTGTCCACACCTTTCCTCAGTATACCGTAATTAGCGCACAGCTTGTCTCGACTTGTAGGTTTTTGCGAGAAGTCCAGCACGTAGGCAGTGGGTCCACACGCAGTAATATGCAATACGATGCAAATCGTCCGCCAGACACGGTAGGGTCTTCAAAATATGGCAAATATCTCAGCCGTGTTTGCACTATCATACATTTTCTGCAGACGTAGATTATAAGAATTCAATACGTTTTGTCAGCATCAGAACTAACCATGAGGAGATGAGGTGATCACTGTTACTTTGAACTTCCTTTTTTACAGTGTAAAAGTCCCATTTTTAGACACTTATAAGCTGAAGAAAGACGGTCACTCTGTTCGCTCTGTTCTGAGAAGTTTGTAGAAAGTGTAGCGCCGCTCACGCGAACACGGTAGAGTTGTAAGTGGCATAGCTCACAACTCAAACATAGCCATGCACTATATGATGGGTAAAGGGCGCATACATCACGCAACATCGCCTCGCGATTCTCACAACAAGACAACTGTTACAAAGTTCAGTCCATTACTTGCTCATCATCTCGTGTTCCGATTGTGATAGTTAGCCTCGATTAGTCGTGTCGAAAAAACTATCACAACTGAAATGCAAGATGATCTGCATATAGGCGCCGTAAAACCTAATTGTCCGCGCCGTGCCCTGAACACCAGCGTAAGCGAGCGATCGTCGCGAACTAATGTCGGCGTTCACTATAATCCAAGAAATCTTTCTTCAACTTTCATGTTGTTCTCGTCAATGCAAGATATATCTTGACGAAAGCTCCCTTCAAATGTTTAAAAAAATTTGTGTGGAAGGGGTGCGCGCTCATTGTCGCTCGCAAAAAGCCTGTAGCGCTTCGGGACCAAACGTTTACAGCTCCGCGCGTTGGTGTTCAAAGCGACGCGTGGGCAATTGGATTTTACGGCGCCTGTACAATGAGTCTTACGTAGTCTTGAGTCTTAGTCTCTTGAGTCTTGAGTCTTGTTAGCAATTATCTTGTTGGGTAAACGCGAGACGAAGAAATCGCGTAATGTACGCCCGACCCTCAAGGGTGGTTTGACATGAAATTTGGATGAGGAGAACTGCAGTGTTGCCATTTTTGTCCCCAACAGGCTGAAACCCATATTTAAGTTTATTGTTCAGAGGCGGGACCGTGCTCTTAGCCAGTCCAAGTACCCTACCTTTTCCGTTCAAAACCGCACTCTATTCACCACCAAGACGGGCAGAGATGGAGCGTCACTACGCGCGCCTCTATGCAAAACAATCACTTTTCTTGTCGGAGACCTCGATATGCTTTGAAATGTAGTTTATTTCTTCTCGTAACTTGATGTGATATCACTACAGATTAGTTAAAAAAGTGCTGCTACGGGAAGCAGAGAGCTTTGTAACTTTCTGGAATGTTGTTAAGCTTAGAACTAACTAACGATAAGTTCTTGATTGAATGATGTGGATTTTATCTAAGCGATTGTTCTCCAGTACGCTGTTAATGATGGCACACTTTCACAGTTGACGACTTTTATATTATTAATCACATTCCACACAGCGATCGACACTGCACGTTGTTCTTAGAGTTTTTTTTCAATTCTACGGGATACGATAGTTCTTGGATGAGTAGACAGTCAATTATTTGTTGGAATTTTACACGGTTAATGTCATAAGATTCAAAGGATTGGCCACATACCTCTTTGGGATAAACCTCCACGCTTGAGCCAATCTGAACTATTTCGTTCAGCTTATCGTCAAATTCGACTCTCACAATCTCATGGGAAGGCAATGTGGCGAACTTCTGAAATGAAAGGTAGCGTTCGCTGCCAAACTTGCAGACAGGGGGATACTCAATTATGCTAGAGCAGCAACCAGCACATGTATGCGCCGCTCCAAAAAACGGCAGTCAATTATTAAAAAGACACTTTTTTCAAGCATAATTGACACGACACTAATGCATTGTTATACTTCAAGTGCATATTATGACGGGTATATACACGGAGTTCGGAGCGGCTTGCATTTTTCTTCAGCATCGAGCAAAAGTACGCGAATTGAGGTTCTGCAATTTGCAGTGTACATACATGCAACAATATGTTCAATGAGATAGATATCTCTATACGCATATCCTCCATGATAGTATTTACTTACAGTCGGTGTCAGAAATTCTAGTCATCACATTGAAAAGCTAAATCACAGATTCTCTCAGCGAATTATTCGATTTACCTGAGAAATAAAACACTCTCTGTATGATTGGCGACGAAATGTTGGAACGTTGGGAAAGCTCTGGGTTATGATGTGGAGCTCTCATGAAGAGCTTTTTAAGACTTATCTCGAACGCATTTTGATCTTATTCTTATGTACTGCTAGGAGTTACCATTTGCATTCAGACATTGCTTTTGTTCTTACTTATCAAAGTTGTGTTGATTCGGGCATGCACTGGGTTTTCAAACCAATCTAAGATTACTATTGTGGTTAAGACAAAATTTTCAAGGCTGCTTTATCATGCGAAAGCGTTATGTAATAAAGTCTGTTTTTCAGAAAATAGAATGGCCAGGTAGGCAAGACCAACGCTCAAGCGTGGTAAAGTAGCTAAGCAATGGTGTAAGAATGCCCAAAATAAAGTCTTACCACATCGCCTTTGAGTTCTTTAGTCAGAACTAAAGGTCCTTTGTCCGTAAATTTTTTCTTGTCAAAATGATCAGAAATCACTGGCTGAGGCCTTGGTATTCTTTTGGTTGTCCAGTTCTGAAAATCAAGGCAAAATTCTTCACTAATTCTGAGGACTTTTCTTTCACCATTTTTCTCAATTCGGCACTGGGAGTTCTCCTCTGTTCCTGCATCGATATTGATGTAGCGCTAGTTTCCACTGAAACACAAGCAAGATCTTTTGACTGAGTGGAACAATAAAAGGAAGTTATAGATTGTGTCGATGAAGACTACAGGCTTGTTTGTTCTTGATGATGGTAATACTGAGAAGCGCTTATCCAAACTAAGACAGATATGTAGAAGTATTATGTGGGTAGTAGGAATGTGTGAGCTTCTCAACTTGTTAAGAAACTTCGGGAAATTCACTAACAAATACAAGAAAACAAGAAGAATTTTCTGCCGAAAAGCTAGCCTTCATTGAATAAATCAACTATCTATATGACGCAAAAAGAAAGGTCAAAAACTGTCATGCCGGGATTCATTGAAAGTCGCACTAGTCGACTCAAACACTATTCTATGCCGCTTTTCTTCCTCTTTCCGGCATTCATATTATTGAACTGTTAAATCCACTAGAATATTCGCCGAAATTACGAACACGTACTTTCTCATTTTGCGCTTTTGTAAGAACTTTGAGCGGTTGGATGGCGTAAACAAAGTAAAAAAGTGCAATGCAGTACAATTTTTACTGAAGCTCAATTTCAGTATTTTTTACAGTTTTTTTCCAAATTTTTCACTTATGCACATAGTGAAGTACACAAACGCTTCAAACACCAACAAATCTTCGGAATTTGAAACTTTCATCAATCAGTCATGATTCAACACTGATTCTGCAAAGCATTTGGCGTCTGCAGCTTCGAAATATCAAATTTCGCGTTCTCCAGGTACAGCTTGGAGCGCGTTCAAAAATAAGGGCTACGTTGGGAGTCGCCAAAGACTCCATGAATTAGCTAGAAAAACCACTTCAGAAAGGGAAGAAAAAGCATCATTGAAAGACTTCTTAGCAGTGGAACTGAATTTGATAACATCAGAAAACTTTTTGAAGAGCCTATAGGTGCTATAGGTGCCAGGTGATGTATCGTATTGCATTTATTCTTTCGCCTGTTATAAAAGCTCTTTGAAGTTCAAAATGAAAGTCTTGGGATTTGATTTGACCATGAAACTAAGTGCCTCAAAAACATGGCACCGTGGAAATAAAAGAAAAGCTGCACGGAGTTTGAAACGTCTGTCTGCCTGCATTCCACGTGTTTTTATGATAGGTTGAAGCGAAACTGTCGTAACTATCAAAAACATAAGATGGGATATGTTTCCTTGCTATCAAGCAGAAACGAAGTATCGTGCATCAACTTTTGAGACTGCTTATTTGCCTGACGATTGTTGTAAAAAGTGCATGCTTCTTCTTTGCTTTTGCAAATTATTGTTCTAAGTGTTTGAAAGCGTATACGCACTTTTCAAATTTGAGATCTTTTTCTTTACAACCCTGTTGGAAAAATTAACAGAAGGCTAATCATGTTGGAACTACACATTGAACAACCTTCGCTTGAAATTTTCGTTATAGAACATTGAATGTTTATCAAAGTGGCATTTGAGTAGTGAGGTTCCTGATGGAACAAATATGTCCACCTTATTCCCAATGAACATAATCCCTTAGCGAAATTGATATTGTACTATTTGAAAGTTTCTAGATTTTACAGCAACGCTAATAAGCATAGAACAAGCTGACAGAGGAGGTAAAAACTTATAGGAGATACACGTATTGCTGTGAAACTTACTGTTCGCGCATAAAGCATAAGCTTTACATCAAAGAATAAAAGCTAGCGTGACAGTATCTAATGAAAATCAAGAGAGAAGTTTCCTTCAAAAGTGAGACTTTTTATATGAAATCTGTAGAATTGAATGATGAACTCACTCTGCAAACTGTACCTTCTTCTTTTGACTATGACGAATATAGCATATGCAACAAGGACACTTAGCGGTATGAGAAATAGTGCCCATTTGAGATGATAGCTAAGATGTCTGTAAAGTACGCTGTCACCGTTTTTGACAGCAACCAACCTTCTATCCTTCCTTCTTTTCATTGAATTTTCAAAAGCTATACGGTTTTTTTCACGCAGCTCCGTCAGTTGTTGCTTTAGTAAAGCTCCCTAAATATTCATCGAAAGTAATGTGGAGCCTATTCAAAGGAACCTTCTAGAGTAAGTGCTAATAAACTATCTCCGATTTTAGAAGTTCAATTTGTTCTCATCCGTGAGAGCCCTTCTTGCAATCAAATTGCTATTCTTTTTACCTTCTTGGTGGCACGCAAAAAAATCAAGAATAAAAAGTCTCGGAACAGTACCATCTAACATTACACACAATTCTACTGTGTTACAAGTACTAGTTCAATATTCGTCATTATATGTTCTGAGACCTTGTATCAGCAGAAGTAGGCAATATTAACTAAGGCAACTTTAGCAGTATCGAACTCTTGGATAGCAGAATCTTCTCATAATTTTGGGAAGCTTGCCGAAAATGCTGATTCGTGTAGCATGTTGTGACTTATAATCACGGGCTACGTTTACGTGTTTCTGTGTGTCTGTCTATCCGTTAGGAGGTGCTAGAGAGCTCTTGAGCTCGAATTTTGCACAACACATACTAGAAGCATGTAGATCCACCACGCAAAAGCGCAAGCGTATCAGATAAGTAAATTTCCCAAAAATTCGCGTTAAACGATCCACTTGATTCTCGCCAACACAACTGGGTCCGTAGTACCACTTTTTGCATTGAATAGTCGACAAGTGAAAGTGCAAGCCATGGATTTTAAACTCGAAAAAAAAAGATCGAAAGTCTATCACCCTAAAATCCGGTATATAAGTCCTCCCATCAGATAAGTCCGCAGCAGATAAGTCCGTTTTTTTGACAAGGAAAGTTGATGCAAATGCACCCTCGCGCCGCCAAGAGTCCTGCAGATAAGCCCGCTTTTTTTGAAGATGAAAACAAGAAGGATGCGCAATTGCGCTGGCTTTTTTGTTCTCAAAATGAACCAAAGCAACAGATCTTTATTCAGGTTCCATTCCATGTTCATCATCATCAAAAACGTGGCTGGCCGACGGTGGTTCTTCGTCTAACGACTAAATTCTTTCTCTTCATAAATGATTTGCACCACATCGCCGATGCCTTAAAGTCCTGGCGGCATTTTACAGGCAGAAATATTTTATATGTACAAGCACTGTCATATTTAGGAAAAGAACTCACCTATCCAGCGTATGCGATGGAATCCGCGACGATATTGTCAGAAAGTAGTCTGTACGACTTGTCGAATCCTTTGGCTCTTTCTTTCAGGCGATATCGCGGTCTTATTCAAATCTACACGGCAAGCTACGCGGGCGATCGTGCGCGTCTATCCTAGGTCGCGCTTGCTCATGCTCAGGGCAGGCGGACTTATCTGCTGCGGTCTGATGGAAGGATTTATCTGCAAGACTTTTGGCGGCGCAGAGGGCGATTTTTCATCGATTTTTCGTGTCAAAAAGGCGGACTTATATGCCGGATTTTAGGGTACTTACGAAAACAGCGCCAAAAGGGACTGGTTGCGTAAACGGTCAATTTGCCAAGGAACACCTGCTCAGACAATCGCCGGGGGCAGGCGGGCACCGGAAAATAGATTGCTGATCTCTCGCACCCGCTCGCGGATTTTTTGGAAAGCAATCAGGACTTTTCGGAAGACCGCTTGCTGAGTTCTCGATTCCTCAGAGATTCAGCAATATATCTGCAAAAGATAAGAGCGAAAAAAATTCAACAGGCGGTCTCTCAAAAATCCGCTGACTCAGCAAGCGGTCTTCCGAAAAGTCCTGATTGCTTTGCAAAAAATCCGCGAGCGGGGTGCGGGAAATCAGCAATCTATTTTTCCGGTGCCCGCCTGCCCCCAGCGATTGTCTGAGTGAGCATTTGAAAAGATTTCTGCACGGTGATGTAACTCACAAGGGAATGGTCAGAAGTCGAAGTGGCCAAACCAAACAAGCTGTATACCATTCGATGCAGTATAAAACGCTGACTTCGAATCTGTCTTTCTTATCTGCTTCCCGCTTCTGTGGACGAAGCTACAAGCCATTAAAGACCATTATTTTGCTAAGAAATTACGCGTGAAATTGAAAATTTGGCCGTGCAGAGCCACGTTCGCCTCAACGCTGGACCAAAACATGCGTATAGCCTACTTCAAATTTTTAAAGAAAGAAGCTGAGCTAAAAGTGCAACAGTGTGCTCAATTTCGCTGTATTCATGTGTGTTTTTTCACAATAAAACCGCCTGTAGCTTCGTCCACAGAAGCGGGAAGCAGATAAGGAAGACAGATTCGAAGTCAGCGTTTTATACTGCATCGAATGGTATACAGCTTGTTTGGTTTGGCCACTTCGACTTCTGACCATTCCCTTGTCAGGTGAAGGTTGTAGTTATGGTGCCCATCAGACAAAAACATTCAAATTTGCATTTGTTCTTCTGCGAAAAGTTCTATCCGCACGCAAACCTATCTCACATGAATTGCTTTCAACCAGAGTAAGTGTTTGCAATTTATCCGTGATAGTTAGCACTGCGCGATGAGTATCAGCGCCATCATAGCGCGAAAATGAGTAAGCATACAGGAGAACCAGCGCGAGCCTTCGCGAGGCAGAGGTGATAACTGATTCTTGATATTGTTACAACGTCCCTTATCATATGTTTTCTGAAAATAGGTATTTTTACAGGAATTAGCGTTATGCTTGGAGGACGTGTGAACAGCAGTTCAAAAGACTACAGCTCCATTCCTAGACCTAGACTTCACCGAGTGGTCGATGTCTTGCGGAGTTAGAGAAGGGAAAGCACTTGACGTATCCACTGGCCATAAGTAATTTATGGTCCCGACAGCATCCCGACAGCATGTGATGTTCCCAGACGATAAATGCTTTTTTGTTAGGTTGTTGTATCATGTCGTAAAGTTTGTGCTAACCAAAAAAACCAACCAATTTTAGCAAAATCAGTCAGCAATTTGGTTTACGCGCAGCTACCATCCACGCCACATTGTCAAGCCCATTTCGAAGGGCAGCGAACAAGTGGTATGGTAGAACGAGATTTGGAATGCAATTGAGTCTTGCATAATTTGCCAGTCTTCCAGGAGGGTTACAATGACGTTTGCCGTGTGGTATGTTTTGTAATTTTTCTTATTTATTTATTCATTTCAGGAATAATAAGGAGAGTTACTTGTTTTGTCTATTGCCTACTGCAATATGACTTTGTTATTTGTTTATACGGTGCTTTTGGACTGCCTTCAGACTACGTCTAAAGTGTTGTTCTTCTCCAGAGATACCGGTGAGGCACGCCTTGCCAGTACGAAGACTCAATCCGGGAACACTCCGTTTGAAGGCACCGTCCACCCAAATTCTCGACTTTCATTTTTTATCGTTTCAGGGCCTTCTCAAGTCCCTGATTGCGAATATGAAGTCGAATATCCGCGAAAACCCCGACACTCCCCGTTTCGGAGAACCCACAGGCCGGCTTTCCGGAGCGGTGATTGTATGGGCGCGCACAAATGAACAGGCATGGATGGGGGTCCTTGTGCATCTTCGCTATTCCGAAGCGATTTTCTCGCTTCTGAAGCGGCATTTTTGCGCCGCGACTTGGGCATTGGATTGTTAGGGAGCCCTACTATTATATGCTGAAGCTCAAGACCCTCATAAGGTGGAAGGTGCCTCTAATTATCTTCTAGACCAAACCAATCCTTTTATCTCATACTCATATGTATAAACCATCTAAAGTTCCTTTATAAGCAAGAATCGGCAGATGTAATAATAATATGCTTCTTTTTGCTCTTTGGGATGTCTAATTCTTTGGAAGAAGAAATGGGGTTAGACCAGGTTCTACCGAACCAGTAAGATTTGAAAGCTTTTTCAAGGCTATTCGCATCTTGGCTCGAACCAAGAAGGCTCATTGAGGAAGGCGAGAATGAGAACGCTGCGAAATTATGAAACGACCTACACATCGACTTCCAAAAATTTTTGATAAATTGCATGAAATTTGTGGAAGAGGTCCGACACGCGAATGGCATACTTCGAATAGCGATACCCTTTGGCGTATCGAAATTTACTACTCCCGAATGCACTGCAGCGATCTTACAAGGAAAGCCTTTTGAGCCAAAGTGGCCTTCCACATGACACTATATCACTTTGTAGAGCTCTGAACGTTAGTCCCAAATTTGTCTTTCTTATCTGCCAAGTGCCTCTGGAGTGTTCAAATTATGAATGTTTCTTGTACTTATAAAATACTAGTTGGCTTCCCTGGTACAGCCCGGGGTATTTTTCACAGATGAGGTAGATGGTGCGGTTGCCAGCAGAACTACCGCACTGCAACCCCCCCCCCCCCGTTTTTTCATACGAATGACCAACCTTGCGGCGCCCATTTCGGTTCACTGCATCCTCGTGATCCTGAGGTAGAAATGAACTTCACCGCTCTCCTTTACATGACAATGAGAAAATGCTTGGTCAAACATGATAAGCCTTCTATTCCTTAGAAAAACGTAAACAAATCAATAAATCGATAGAAGGACCCAACGAATCGCTGCAAAAAGAAGCTTATCATCTGCGCAGGGGTCGAAAACGTATGTGTGCAAAGTTTCAGCTGAATCGGTTGAGCGGCGCGCGTTTCTATAACGCACATAGCCTCCAAACTCACAATTTTGAGTTTTATATATATAGATACGCGCATGGGGGACAAGATAGTCCAGAATTGCTCAAATGGTCAATTGATAATTATCAGAGCACTACATTCAATGAACATCTTCCGTCTAACACAGCCATACGCAACACTGCGTCATCTAAGCGCTGCAAGAACCGTAAGAGTTGATTTTACCTTAATTCTGCGTTCAACTTTCGCTCCAAAAAAAAAGCTCATGAACTTGACGTCCAGGGGCCCTTGGCGCAGGTTTGGAATCAGGTTCGACGCTCTCCAAAGAAATATAGGTCTCGTTGGGAAAAGCAACTTCCGCTAAAAGGCTTTCCTGGTTAGAGTGCGCGGTGAGCAGGCACTGCCGGCTCTGTTGAAAGCTCTATTCTCCATTTTAGAACATGCTCTCGATTTCTGATGAGGAATGTTAAGCACTCACCATAGCCATAAGCTTCCGTGGATTTCGTTGGGGACTTATTGTCGCAATATTTGCAAATGCAGCAGTTCTAGTCTTATTTGTGAGTCTGGCACTCGAGCTGCCAATTCCTTTTGTTTTCCGCGTAGTTATGGAAGGATGCAAGGAAGTATCCTCCGCGAACTCCACCGGTGGTGCATCGTCATCGCTATGTATGGTTGTTGTTTTTGAAACCTTGCTGTTATGACCTTACGGTATTTCTTTTGGTGGTACATCATCTTCGCTCAAAGAAGTAGTATTGGACGCTTCGTCTGCAAAGATCTCTTCGACATATACAGGATCTTCATTTTTAATGAAGGATTTAACTCTGAAAGAATAGAATATGTAGTACTAGTTTTTTAACAAAAGATCTGTTTTTTTTGTCCCATAGCATTTCATGACGTCTTATGAAGACGAATAAGCTTTTCGAATAGCCAAAATAATATTACATTTTCTTCGAATGTTTCTTTATGCAGTTGTGAGAATTTAGCATAAAGTTAGCCTTTCCTTGCACGAGCAAAAGAAACAGTGACATTGATGTGCACCAGAATGAGACGATATGCTTATTGAAAAATCTATTTTGGGGTTGCTCAATGAACATTCCCTATCGGATTGCACGATAAATCCTGTTGGTAGTGGATTTGATCGAGCACTGCTATGATGAGGAAGTTTCGGCACTAACGCTTTTTGCAATTTTACTTCTGTAAATACATTGTTCAGAATGTACAATTCACAGCAAGATAAATATGGCTTGTGGTAGCATCCCACGCCTTTCTTACGTGCTGAGAATTCACCTTCAAATCTATTCATTTTTTCACATTGATTCCTAAAATGTCTCAGATCCTTTGATGGTAACTTTCAAACCCCAAGCAAAAGTATGTAGCTGGTGTTCAAAATCGCGTGTATACGCGAAAGATGACTGCGCTCGACTTGACTTCCATAAATGACCGATCGCTAAAGCATTTAACATTGGCTGAGAAATTTGGCCTGTGTCTCATGTTCACCGGATTCTGCTAACCAAGTGGTGTAACATGAATCTGACCATGAGTAATAGGAGTAGTCTTTAACTACTAAAAAGGTTTCTTTCATCAATCACCAAAAAAATTATGTATTCCTCCCTCAAGCTCGAGCTAAACCTCTTGCCCATAATTAACAAAGCTTAGGTCAAGATTAACTGTAGGAAGCTTTTGCAGCCTACTGTACTGATGGTAGATATCAGCCCGAAAAGCACTCAAACTGTAAACATTTATATACGCTAAGTTTGAAGTCTATGCCTCAGCTGGTTATAGTAAAATAGATTATGGTCGGTTTATTGATTGGCAACCAAACTGAAACAGTACGAATGTACGTAAAGACTTTTTCCAGATATTTGAATCCTTTCATCTACAGCAGCCTGGTTTCTAAACCACAAGAACGCAACGCTGCCCAAGAAAAATTCTTTCACGGATTTTTACATCAGAACACGATCTTTTTGAGTTTTTAACAAAGACTCACGGCGCTTTATTGCTGACACGCACAGAAAGCATCTGAAATCCACGACATTAACTTCCGAAAAAGTTTTGGAAACAGACCTCAGCTGACAATAGCAGGCAAAGCAGTGCTAAAGCGATCATTTGGAAAGTAGCACTTGTTGCAAATACATCACACCAGCTTTTCGATATCATTCCATAGCCATTATAGAATTGTTGACGAGATTAATCAAACAATGTGATTAATCGGTTTTTTTTATTTTCATGCGTCAACAAAAGAAGAACACTCAGAATACTCATACTCCAAATCTATCGAATGAGATGCATATTTCCTTTGAGGGCATACAAAGCTGATTTCAATTTGTTTTCTTTATACGCTAAGCCCTGCTAGGCGAGCAGGTATTGACATTAATTGAACTAAGCACTGAAAAGAAATTGGAAAAAAGCTACGGCATGTGTCTCACATCAGTAGTGCAAGTTGTGTAATGCTGGCGCTACGGCACTTGGAAAGCTTGCAAAAAAATTTGGTATTGCAAGGAAAGTCAGGTAACCTAGATTCGCGTTCTGAGATAAGACACATGTATTCGGAATCCGCTTCGAACAATTCCAGTATGCTGTCCTTAGCTGTGGCATATTACACTGAAGCAAGTTATTTTTTTTCTCTTTTCTCTTTCTCTTCTCTTTTTCTCTGTTTTCTTTTCTCCTTTTCTTTCTCTGCATGCTCTTTGACCAACTGGCATTACGGTATCAACATCTAGGTGCTGATTTACTGCGTTAAGCATCTCGTCAATGACAAAAGATTCGATATGATACTATTTTATTATCCCAGCACCCTTTTTGAGCAGATTTCCATCTACAGGCAGCCTTCCCATGCTAAGGAGTATGCCTCGCACACAAAAAACTCACAACTTGCTCCAGAACAACCGCAGCTAGGAACAGTATATTTAAATTTAGCGTTCGAACTTGATCCCAAATATACATGTTTTATCTCAAAACGCGAGTCTAAGTTACCTGACTACCCTTGTTAGATGTGGTACTAGCTCAACTTAGGTGGTATGTTGAAGATGGAAATCAAAAAGTTAGAAAACACTCCTTATCTCGCAAAGCTCAGCTGTAGCAGTGCAAGTTGAAAAAGACTATACCGCTTTCTTGAGCGAAAATTGACATAACAATAAGTACTTGCTGAATGGATGGTTTGATGCGTCATCAAACTAACAAAAGCTCATGCGCTTGTATCCCACAAATCATGAATGTAGCCTTCGAGTAAGGCTTTGAATTACACTAGGCTCAGTTCCATTTGTTATCACGCTCAGATTTTGCTCTTTGAATTTTATTGTACGATTGCCAATTCATGGTGTCTTCCCTGCAGCCTTAGCTATTTCCTCTGCGTCATTGCTCTTCTTTCTATTTTTGTCTCTTGTCTCCTTCTGCATAGTTTGCTTTGTGTCTGGGATTGTCTTAAAATATTTTGTGCCCTTTTCACTTTGGCTTTCTTTTCTTCTTTTCAAATTGGTTTTCATTTTTCGCGCCCGCGTTAACGAATTGTTGTAGATCATGGCACGTTCAAGTGTACATCTGCACGAAAGCCTCACAAAATGAAGAAACAGTAGAAGTGTTTGGGAGCCGAGGAATAAATCACAGCTTTGTCCACCCAGAGATTTCTACAGTATAAAAATTGAGCAAAGATGCGATGATCCAGAAAAGCTGAGAGTCCGCTTCAAGAAGATACCTTTGCTTTGTCGCAGGTAATTAGGGTAGAAAAGCAAGGGCGCAGTTTACTGATCAGCAGCATTTGGCAATCTCCGGTGGGGATGCGACCTTTAAAACACTGGGTATAGTTCAAGATAAAGTGGAGGGTTTTTTCAATGCTAGATGGCAATGGCGAGCCTAACACATTCACTACCTCCATCATGCCAGTTATCCTAGCGTGTTTATGCGTAGGAGCTGACGAAGAATGGGAGGAGACGCGAGTTCCAGCTGCGATACTTGCAGTGAGAGGAATGAGAAAGACATGCAGGGAGCTAGAATACGAGCTAGTGCGTTTCCCAACGCTATTTAAATCGGATGCCTAAAGTGCATGGTAAGCAGATGAAGAAAGGGAACGTCAAAGTTTTTGTTTTAAAAAGCAAGAGTGTATTTAAAGTGAAAATTATCTAGAGCATTCTTGATTAGTTGAACCGATGATGTTCTTAACACATTGACGACAACGTGACCCACATTGTGGGTTATGCAGTGTCTGCCACCTGGGACAATGTGACCCACATGGAGGATCAGCTTAAATTTTTTTTCAAATGACTGCTATTTCGGAATACATTCGTTTCAGAAGTTCTCTTACGCCCTGACCCTAGAAAATGCTTTTGCGTTCCTTGCCTACTTCATAGAATTACTGTAGGTATACTATAGTTGACGATCTGCATGATCTTAGCTAAAAAAATTTGACTTATTCGTGGAAGGATTGTCCCACGAGGCAGAAAACCAAAAATGCACGTTGTCGTGAACACAGAGACATGCTTGACAGCAAAGTGAAGTTATACAAAATGAGGTCATGGGAAATCTACATTGAGTGATTACGCGTGTGGAGTAGACAGAGACACACATGGTCATAAAGGAGCTGTTGTCAGAATGTGTTCCTCTAGTTAAGCATGTGATTTTGATCAATATCAAACTATCTTCGTCAAGTGAGCTTAATTGACTAGTTTTCTGGAAGTTCATTGTCCTCCCTATAGTCATCATTCCTCGACCATCGTGAGTGGTTGTCCCAGCGTCAAGCTGCTTACCCATAAGGAAGCAAGCGACAAGCCGGCTGAAGAAGACGAACTGTCGCATCGATTGCTATGCTCTTTTATGTCTCAGCGAGATCAAAGAGTTACAGCTAGGGCGTTCCTCGAAAGCGACGAGCGATTAAGCCTAACGAGCATGAATAAAAAGCGAGAGCTACTATCTCAACGAGCAAAGGGGAGATGATCAAAAACCTTGGCTCACAACAACGACACAAGTCTCAGAATCGCTCCGACTTGCAACCATCAACGTAGGATCTCTGACGGCACGACACCGCGGACTGGCAGATCTTCTCAAGAGACGCAGAGTGGATGTCGCCTGCATTCAAGAAACCAGATGGAAAGGCCAAAAGTCGCGCGATATAAGAGACGGATTCAAGCTCCTATGCAACGGAGTAAGTAATGGCGGAAATGGCGTAGGGATAGTTGTCCGCGAAAGACTGAGAAAGAAAATAACCAACGTGGATAGAGTAAGTGACCGCCTTATGAGCATCAGGATTGAAAATTGGAAGCAGATTTTACGGGTTCACTGCCTACGCACCACAAAGCGGCTGCGGTGAGGTTGAAAAGGATGTGTTCTGGCATAAGCTCGACGATTATATCCAATCTTCAACATCAGAAGAGATGCTACTGCTTGAAGCAGGCCTCAATGGCCATGTCGGAAAACAAAGGAGTGGTGCAGGAAAATGTCATGGAGACCACGGGTATGCAGTACGAAATGAAGACGGTGAACGCATTCTCGAGTTTGCTACAGCTCATAACTTAACGCTGGCAAATACTTATTTCATAAAGAAAAACGGTCATTTGAATACGTACCCCAGTGGAGGCCGAAAGTTCCAAATAGACTTTTGGGCAGTAAGGCAGAGTGAACTCAAGTATGTGAAGAACAGCAAGGTCATTACAGGTGAAGAATGCATACCGCAACACAGGCCACTTCTACTGGACCTAAATATCCCATCCGAAAGACAAAGATGGACAACGACAGAGAAAAGAGAGCACATCAAATGGTGGAAGCCTAAAGAAAACCATAGCGCCAAAGTAGCAGTAGAATGTACTCTACCTGAGTTAGAAGAAGATGTAAAACAGTCCTGGGCGAATCTAAAGAAGAATGTTCATCAGGTAATTGGAGATTTGCTAGGGCGCACGAAACCAGGAAGATCCAGACTCAACAAAGAAACATGGTGGTGGAACGAAGACACTCAGCTTTGATAAGAAATAAGAAATCAGCTTCTAGAGTATGGCAGAGAACAAGGACAGTAGATGCTCATCGGAAGTATCTGGAAGCGAAACGTACAACAAAGAAGAGAGTCAGAGAAGCAAAAGAAACATATGTAACGGAGTTGTGCACGAAGCTGCATACTTCCGAAGGTGTACGTGAAATGACCCGAAGAAGAACTGACGCCATGAAAGACATAGAACATTTCTATAGTATTAAGGACGAACATGGGAGGATCTTGAAAAGGCCACAGAAGATAAGTCAAAGATGGCGAGCACACTTTGCAGAGTTAGCGTCCGGGAGCTGCGAATGCACGTCTACCATAGAAGCTGGACCAGTTCACGGATCAGTGCCAGCCATTACAGAAGATGAAGTCCGCGTCGCTATTTCGAAAACAAAGAACGGCAAAGCGACAGGCCCAGACGATGTCTCCAACGAATCTGGAAGAAGTGTGGACAGAATGGAATTTCGTGGCTAACGCAACTATTGAACCGCATAGTGAGAATCAAGAAAATGCCTAGCGACTGGTATGAAAGCAAAACGATACCAATATGGAAAAATAAAGGCGACATAGCCGACTGCTCTACGTATCGGCCCATCCGTCTCATTAGCCACACGTTGAAAATTTTCGAAAGAATATTGGAGACACGACTTCGAGATATAGTGGAGCTTGCACCCAACCAATGCGGATTTTTGAAAGGCTGCAGCACAACCGATGCAACTCACACCGTTCGAACTATGGAAAGTAGTCGAGAAAAACAATGTGAACTTCATGCTGCATTCCTGGATTTAGAGAAAGCATTTGACAAGGTTCCACATAACATGATATGGTGGGCTCTATAGAAGCGCATAGTGCAGAGGAGTATGTTCGGTGAGTAAGAGATATATCAAGGTGCAACCAGCTACGTAGAGACAGCAGCAGGACAATCAGAGGATTTCCAGATAGACATTGGCGTACATCAAGGATCCGTTTCACCCCTCCTCTTCATAATTGTTGTTGACGCGATAGTTAGAAATTTTATACGTCAACCCCCATGGGCACTCATCTACGCTGATGATGTGCTCTTGATGGCAAGAAGCAGGAAGGAGCTGGAGGTGGACGTCAGATATGGAAAACCCAGCTGGAACGACATGGTTTCAAGGTGAACATACTGAAGACGGAATACATGGAAGTGGGATTCCAGACGCCTGGAACTATCCAAATGGGAAACACCCTGATAAAGAAGACCACATCCTTCAAATATTCAGGAAGTCGCATTTCTGCAGATGGCACGCTAGAAGACGAAATATGCGACAGAATAAACGCGGCTTGGTTGAAGTGGAGGGACCTCACAGAAATTATGTTTGGCAAACTGATGCCAGTATACCTCAAATCGCAGATCTATCGTTCGATGATCCGACCGACTGCGATGTACGGCAGCGAATGCTGGCCTGTCACGCACAACGAAGAGCGAAAGCTCAGTACGATGGAAACAAGAATGCTGCGATGGACGTTAGGCATCACAATGATGGACCATGTCACAAATGAAACCGTAAGAACCATGATGAAGGTCGCCCCAATTGTCAAAAAGTTGCAGGAGAGACGACTTCAATGGTACGGCCATGTGAAAAGATGTGAAGAAGACCACATTGCCAGATCGAGCACGTCAGTATTAGGTTGCTGCATAAGTTCTGTCCGATTTGAATTTTTTGAGTTCAAAATGTCATAACTGTCTTCAAAGTCAACTTTTTCAAGATTTTAGTTTCTATGTGTTGAGTAATTCCTTGGCTATCAACGCATATTGAAACCTGCGAAAATCCTTGTAAAGGAAGGAGCAAGAACTCAAAAACTTTACAGCGTTTTTCTTCAAACCTGTCTTTTTTGACATGGCAGTGCTCCCTTATGAGTATTGATAGGCATCTTGTCCAACAATGGATAGACAGAGAATTTTTCGCAGATCATTTTGGGACATAAAAGAGCCCATAGGGTCTGCGTTGCCGAGAGATTTTTTTGACCGAGCAAAAAAGAAGCCACTTTTTGACCGCCTCAGTGCATCTGTGCATGCCTATTTACGAGTTATGAAAATTTTACATTTAACGTGAGCGCCGAAAAGAAATTGGTGGATGGTTTCTGCTAGCCCTTGCTTTACCCTAGCACCTCCAACTTTGAAGTCGTCGATTACTTCTATTGACAGAAAGTTATTCCTAGTAAAACATCTAGACAGAAAATTAATGTTTGACAATAAATTTTACTAGCAAGACGTTTTCTTCATGAAAGTGAACTTACGCGTTTGCTAGCCTGTTACACCCTTATTCCGGAACCGATTAAAAAACTTGACTATAGGGCGCATTATGGAGATTTCCTCGCAAGAACATATTTCTAAGGTGAGAACGTACCTCGACCACTTGGAGATTTTAGGCCTGAAATCTCCTTACACTAAGAAGTTTATTGAAATTTGATATGCTTTAGAATGCGCAAGAAAAGCACTTTTTAATGATAATAACAATATCGCATCAGAGATGAGATCCTCTTAGAGCAGCTGCTTCAAACATAAGGCAAAAAATTTCGGAAGAACTTATGCAGCAACCTAATAAATTTACCGGGAAAAAGACCAAAAGGAAGACCGAAACTGAGATGGTTAGATAAAATTAGAGCGGATTTAGGAGAGCTCAAGCTGGAAGAAGAATAAGCTTTGAATTGCAAGCTGTGGAAGAGACTCACAAGAGCAGAGACCCCAAGTAGCAAAAAAAATCTTTTTTCTTATTGGGAAAATGCAAGGATAATAAATAAATAAATAAATTGTCCTCCCTATAGCACATTTGCTGCACATGCTATAAAATGCTATAAGCACTTATCGAGTTGTTATGTAAATTGCTAGCCAATGTGAAGACACAATAGTTCTCAGTGATTTCAGTCTAAAGAGAAACTGGAGCAAACTGCAATCTTAATAGAATCTGGTCGATTTTCTTCGAGTGCTTTAGGGTTTTGGCTTGAAGCAATAAGTAACAGAACCAACACAAGATTCCATGTCCCTGATCTCGCATTTTCGACCTCACCCCTTATCTCGGACAATCATACTATGCCTCACCATCTTATTGTTTAGTCATATTACGCCGACGATAATCAATTTTTTGAGGATCAACTTTACTTTTCATAAGGAACTTCGATACTATTGTTCGACTCTGTTCAGTCCAAATCAGCCAAGGGCTCTACTGTCGACTTCATATACATGGTGCATCGAAATATGAGCCCTCCAATTTTTTGCACAACCCAGCGAGGCTGCCCTTCATATACGGAAGCTCTTGGCAAATAAAATGTTTTTTTCAATTTCTTGGCCGTTTTGACCCCTTTGACAAGCTTTATGCATAAGCAAGTGTGCAAAGACGTTGGTCATCCTATGAAAAGATCCTCGAAAACGAATACAATGGCAACGAACTCCCATATGATCAAGATGGGGGTACTTATAATTAACTATGAGAAATCACAAGCCTTTGCTCGTTACTTCGTTGATATGTTCTCTCTTGATCAAGTCATGACTTCAGAATTTCTTACACCTGCCCCGACTCACCACTGCCTAATGATAGTTAACTTAAGTTCTTTATTGAGCTTTTTTTATCATAGCTTTTCACCTGCTGCTCCTCGTGCACATATTTTCAACATACCGTTGATGTTTGGTGAAGTGTGCGGCTTTGGAAAGAGGCGTTGGTAATTGCTATTCTAAATTTTTACGCTCATCCTCTCTCAGACTGGCCTATCAAATTTCTTACTGAAGCAATTAATGAAGATATGTTTCGTGATAAACCTCTCAGGTGGTTCTAAGAAAATTTTGCACTTTCTTTAGTATATCCTCAACGCCTTTTAAAAGTGTGAAGTGAAAGTTTAAAAAATTGTTAAACTTGGACGTAAGACCATGGATCGAAAATTTCGACAATCATCTCATTGTCCTCGAGAGTAACCCTCCAAGAAACAAAACTATTGAAAAGGGCAAGAAAAGGGCGTGGAATAGTTTTTGAACCAATTTCTTCATAAATAGCGAGTCATTACGAGTAGCTCAAGAATCAACTCCGCAATTAATATTACTGTCTATATTGTTCAGCACATAGAAATCTTCCTTATTTATCTTATGTGGTAGGTCTCGCTTGCGTTTTCATGCAAAAGAATCTTCCATTGTACGATGTTGGCGTGTAACCTTCACAGCAAGCACTTTGTCGTGGGTATCGGCACACTTCTTGATTACAGACAACCTTCTCAAATGCCGTCCTAAAATATTATGGTGACATCATATGTAGCTCTTTCTTCGCGATTCGTTAGCTGCATAAATTTGTTTCGATTATACTGAGAGGACGTCAGAAAATTGATAAAATGACTGAAATATATCAAAGAAATTTACAAAACAAGATTGTGCAAAGAGTGAAGGGTAGGTGGATTAATTATTCAAAAAAACCTCAGCTTTTTGAATTTTCTGGCTTGAGTTGTAAGTTATTTCATCTACAATAACAGTCATATCAATAGAAAGTAGCGCCGAAAATTTAAAAGTTGCCCACATTTATTGTAAACTCGCGCGAAACTTGGTTTCACTTGTATATATCAATAACTACTATAAAAATGAATTACCTAATTATCTTCAAAACCTAGTCTTGCAAAAAAAAATTCCACGGTAATGCTCGCAAAGATTTTGCAAAGCAAAAGATTTTTTGAAGGGTTGCCTAAGGCACGCCTGTCCATGCGAAAACTATTTTTGTCGCTCCCCCCTCAGAAAAAACATTTCTTGGACCACCACTGATGTTAGAAATTCTTATATGATATATAAAGCGTCTTGTTTTGTTTACTATGCACTGGAGTAACATGTCTTTCTTGAACATATCTTAAAAATTATACGTTGCCCATGGATAGTTACAAAAAAACTTTTTCCAATTTTCAGTCTTATATTAGAGTTCTTCGCGATCACTAAGCAAAATGAGGATTTCAGTGTATATTCAGAAAAATTCAAAAATTTTGGTTTTACGAGAATCCTCTTGGGACTGCATCATCGTTTTCCGTCTAAGTATAATAATTTTCTTGGGGCTTTGTCGAAATGCGCTACGAGTGATGTTTTTCACTTAGAAAATCTACCGCTCACCCTTCGCAAAGACACTCGGGCATCGCTTTGTTGCAAGCTCGGAATCGCTGCATTGTACCGCAAGATCCACAGGTATCTGTGCAGTTCGACCATTCTCGCCATTCTGCCCATGTCGAGGATGCACATGACAACCCCGTCGTGGTCTAGAAAACGTGAGCTCATTGTTAAGAGAAAAAAATAAAATCTACTATAAATATAATAGATATAATTGTGCAAAATATAATTGTGCAGAAAGTAAAAGGGACAATTAATGTTGGCTCTTTTTATGTCATAAAAAAGTAAAAGTTTGTTCGTACCATCGGCGTAGTCGTCCCTGTCGTTGGTGGAACAGTTTCAGAAGCCCCTGGAAGATACAACAACCATCCAAGCATAAAAAGAGAACTCGCTTTGCTAACGGACTTGCACATGGAAAACTAAACCTACGTTGTATAACAGCGCAACTGAGACTATCGATAGTTCTGCCTGTGGGAGTAATCCAATTAGTCTGGCTGTTACACGACAGGGTCAGATTCGCCATCGCAGGTGCTCGTATGAGTTCTCCCAAGGCACTCATTAGCGCTACTTCGGAGGTTCGCTGAAACGTGAACAAATTATTCCTTGCTTCAGTAAGTTCTATGCAGAGAAATATTAGGTTGTTGCGAGTTTTGCGTTTTTGGAACCACTATGAAATCTCTACTTTTTAGCTAATGCGTTACAACATGCATTCAATGCAGCTTTTCTTTTCTCGTTCTGATGGTTAATTTGCTATCCATTTTTTTGAATACTTTTAATTCCTGTCAAGAATCTTCGAAAGTCATTTCATCTGTCCAAAATTCTGCTAATTTTCATGAATTTCATTTCAGACTCTCGGAAAGGAAAAAAATGATGCAATTAGAGCAAATCTCATACTATATGGTAGGTCTTTTGAATCCTTCTGATTTGCTGTTTGGACCTTCAAAAATAATTTCCTCGGAGATTTCGAATTTTGGTAAACTGATGAACAGCAAAAGCATAAAGCTTCCAAAGTTTGTGCGAGTCGAAACCGATCACTTTGAATATTATGCAAGATGACTAAGCTTGACCTGCATGTAGAATCAACTTCTTTGAATTTTTTTGTACCCCTGTGCCCCACATGTGCTTCAAAAAGGAGGTTTCTCCCATAATTATAGGAAAAATTGATCTATGTAATTCAGAAAAGTCATGCAGCCAAAGGTTTACTCTACGAAAACCTATTAGCCCTTTTTCAATACATCAGAATAAAAATTTTTGAAAAATCAAGAAACTTCGGCATCACATTCGCACTGCTCAAAGAGCCATGGCGGTAACACCGCAAAGACTGCATAGACCAGAGAGAAAGATTTTAGCCATCAAATAGTGGATAAAGTTTAGATTGAACAGTACCTAACTCGTCGATCGCGTTTAGTTTTGGTGACTGATCAAAGGAAGGGACAAGACTTTCGTAGCAGCCTATTTATCGCTCTCTGAAATGAGCCCAACAAAAAATTGGGCACTTACATCTGGTGCTGCGCACGAGAGCTCGACATTGATGCAGTTATCGGTTGAGTAAGTATCCATTGTTAGAAAACCATTCTGATACCCAGCTGGTACACTTGTCACGAGCTGTCGATTGCAATTTGAGCATGGCACTAAATTGCGAATGATGATACCCGAAAGGTGGTGAAGTCTTACCCGATCCTGGCGCTGTTGTGATTGGAGCAAATGGCGTAGTGATAGTTTCTAGTGGAGAATCAGTTGCATCGCTAGGTGTTCCTGGAAGAGAGAACCATAATGACAAACTACAAAAGCATGAGTTCTTTAGAAAAGTTACCAGTTCAGGTCAGATTGTTAGTAATGAAACTATCCAAGTGATTTACGGGTGCAACTTTTCAGACACGCCGAAGCAATAAATACGGGTTTTTTCAGGCACTAGTTTACACTGATAATTTGCTTAGTTACGATACTCGATAAAATGTTTGATGGTGCATGAAACACCATTTTCTTGGTAACTTCCACTATCTCACTCAAGTTAGGAAATAGATCCTATGCGAACTATGAATAGGGTGACAGGTGATTGTCAGATTATTTTATGCTGCAAAAAATGATAAACATTCATTCCTAATTTTTTTTCAATATCTTGCTTTGAGTATTCGTAGAAGCATTCGCACCCAACGCGAACTTATCTCGGTTGAGGTCAGATTGGGAGACCATAAATAAGAACAAAAGCTAGACTTTACGGACTTTCCCATTCCTAGGAACAAAATTGAAAAAAGTGTTGTCTTCATCAGCTTTATCAGCCATGTGTGAATAACGATTTTTGTTACAAGCAAAATTAGAGAATGCATAATTTTGTGCACTTTGGATACATTTGAAGGATGCTTCCAAAATTCAAATGTAAGGCTTTCAGAACATTCAAATACACAACAGAGTTTCTTCAATTTGAAGCTGTTGCGTTTCTTTTACAAATTCTTGAAAACTTGAGAAGGTGGTGTTAGCTCGCATAGAAAGTGTAGCTCTTCAGCAAAACAAATTATTATGGTTCAAAAAATTTTGAGGCTCCCTAGGTTGATATACAATTTGCTAAGTGCTATGAAGTTTTGCTCACTTTGAACCACACAAGCTGTCGAAACGATCTCTTCATTCAGTCTCATCCACTTGCCATTTGACATACATGAGAGTGAGCTAGAAATCCTCTGTGGTGCTGACAATACGGCTCTGTTATTAAAGAACACGGTTGCGTTCGTATATCCCTAAAGCAAGTTGTTTCCATCCACTCGTGGTGAAAAAAAAGAATGCTTACAGTACTAGCTGTGCATCTTATAACAACCACTCTGCATCCCGAGAAATCGTGGAAGTGGTCAAGAACGAGCAGCCCGGTAGTTTCATCTGCGCCAAGGGTTCCGGGCGGAAGCGGCTGCAGATTCGGGCACTGGCTGCACCTAGCTGAAGTAGAATAGCTAAACTTTAGAGTTTTTTTTTGAATATTAAAAGTCCACTTGAAGATGTCGTCGGTGATGTGGTCGTTGAAGTAGTTGTCGTTGTGGTAGTGGTGGTGGTCGTCGTTGTGGGCGGAGTAGTTGTTGAAGGGGCTGCAAAAAATTTATTTCTGCACTCAAAATGCGCGTTATTCATCTATCTATTTATTTTTCTATTAAGCGCACATGTTCCCTCAAACAGTTGACAGATCTAGCATAAATAAAATGAAGCGGAGAAGTAATGAAGCAAACCAAAAACGAATTATTTTTGTCGGCCCAGTTACTCACCATGCTCTAAAAAAATGTGTAGAAGATGTTACTTGAAACGTACGTAGTCTGACTCCGCACGATATAAAGGGCACGGCGTATCCACTTGATGTCGTCCAAGTCATCATATCATTGCAGGTAAAGTTCATCCTCAGCGACCCAACGCCTTGATCGAATACGGTACCACTTATCACTAATGCAAGGTTGTCGGAAATCTGAGAGTTCGAATTTTTGCATGGGTTTCAGTTTGATAGAGAACCTACCCTAGTTCCTTCGCAAGTCATTTCTACTGTCTTACACTCTCCATTGGATGATGTGAGAAGTGTTGTAAATCCATTGTTATATCCAGACGTGAGAGGCACCACGCTTAGCCGTGAACATCTCATACATGGAGCTAAAATATAGTTTTGAGGTCACTTGATAACAGCCCCCCCCCCCCAGAATGGGTCGCGAAATTTTTGAAAGTTACTTACATGAGTCATAAAAATGTGCAAAAGACTTATTTATACTTGTAAGTAATCAAAATAATTTTTGAATTTTTGTAAAAATTCAATTTAGGTCTATAAAAAAATTTTTTGGGTGCGTTGTCGCGCCCCCCTCCCTGAGCCGAAATCCTGGGTACGCCACTGCTTGATAACTAGTAGCTGAATGCTGTTATATAAGACAGTTTAGTACTACGGCCGAGGTCAATCAAATCTGAGTAATTTTGACTTTTGATAGATGAATTGAAAATGAGACTGTCTCTGCTGAAAGCATAGCAACTGCAATATTAGTATGTACATCAATTGTTAGTTCCTTGAAGGGAAGATTTAAACACTCTCTACTTATGAGCAGCAGTAGTTTAGCTCATGAGTAGTCGACTTGAGGAGAAGTGATGTTTTATGCCTGCATTCCATTTTTATTTATTAGAACTGCCAGTGACATTCTCTCAAACTTCGACAAATATGCAACTCTAACAAAGCGGAGTTTCCAGAATTACAAAAGCAAGCCAGCATCAAAACGAAGTCGATGTTGCTGATGTTAGAAAATCCTTTTAAGTCACAAATTTTCACGGATCCGTGGTTAATTAGGAAGAAAAGTGGCTGGGAATTTTTTTGAAAATTTTTATGCATTAGATGTGAGTGTATTTGTCAATGAGCCCTTACGCTTTTGTTACCTGTTCCGGGAGGAGTCTCCTCTGTTGTGGTCGTCACTGGCATACTAGTGGAGCTTACGGGTAAACGCGTCGATCCGCTAGCGTTGACTAAAATCATTTGATTCATTTTCAAGATGCTAATACACATATATGTAAAATTACCATCTACTAGGCAAGAGACGCTATTCACAACAGCATTTTGGGCAGTTACCCAGGCACCGTCTCTGCTGCACGACAATCTTGCCTGTTGTGATCCCACACCGTTCACCATAGCTGAGTTCTCGTTCATGTACAGTGTTGCCCTTTGGCCAGCCTAAATAATTCGAATTGTTAGCAGTTATTCAAATTTCAGTTTGCTGCACTGTTACCTGAGTTGGAACACACTCGACATTTACGAATTTGCAGCCGTTTGCATTCGAAGTGTGATCAAGCACCATCATGCCGTTGTAAGTACCTGCCACAGTCATAGGACGAGCCGGCATATTGCTACATGCTTCACAATCTCCTGAACGGCTTAATTTTTCGGCATTGCACTTTACCGACGCTTTTGGGCACAAATGTTTACCGAAATTCTCCTGTGGTGTGCTTAATGAATTCGGTATCGTAGATAAAGATGGTCTAGCGACCGTGGTTGCACTAGTAGTGGTTGTTGTTGTTGATGTTGTTGGTATACCTAAAACATTTATGAAGATCTAATCGACCTGAACGAATTATCATTTCAGCAGCGCGTTTTGGTTTTCTCCTGAAAAGTTTTGAACATTTTAAAGGTAAAATCAACCATTTTTCAACCTATGTGGCCGATAATAGCTTCGCCTTTTAGGGACAAACATGTACGGAAGAATCAGAGCAAAGATAAATTCAAACAATTTTAAGGTTTTCTTTCTTCATTTCTGTGACTAATGTCCAAATTTCAATGCAGTGATTGAAGCAAAATCTTGCACATTAAGGTCGAAAATTCACGCCGAGTTTCTGTAAACAGTGATTTCTTTACCCTCTGTACTTCATTGTAGATAACATACAAAAGCATCGTAGTGATCTTATTTCAAATGTATTAGGTGGGTTACAAACTTTGTTCGCAAGATTTTCAAAAGATCATAACTTCCTTCCTTCTCGGTGGATTTTAGGGTAATTTTTGTTTGGAAGAGGAAACCTTTCTCTTACAAGGGTATCCTTGCCATGAAATGGCCTGAAAAAGTTCGAGAGTTAGAAGCGATCAAAGAAAATTACTTGAGATTGGCATTTTTCAAGCAGGGTCACAGAAAATTCTGCAAATATTCTGGTTTGATAGAGAAAAATATGTTCTTTACTACAGTGCCTTTTAGACAAATTAAGACGGAAAAGATCGAGAGTTATAAGCAAATAAAGACTACTTCAGTTGCAGTTGAGCATGCCCCAAAAAGCCCAAAAGCATCGCAAAAAAGGCGCGAAAGCCAAATTATTTTGTGACCTTTCCTTTCTAGCTGAAGAAAATAGTACCAACCGAGAGCAGTTTTGATTTTCGTAAAAAACGCAGACCCGAAACCGGAAATATTACGAAAATCAAAATTGCTTTCGATTGGTTCGATTTTCGCTCAGCTAAAAAGAAAAGGTAACAAAACCCATATTCTTGACTTTCCCGTCTTTTCTGTGACGTTTTTAGGCTTTTTTGAGCATGCTCAAAAAATGCAAAACCGGAGCATTCTTTTATTTGCTTCTAACTCTCTATCTTTTTCGTTTTAACTATGGGAAAGATACCATTGTAAAGACCCGATTTTTCTTTATCGAATAATAATAGTTACGGAATTTTTCGTGATCCAGCTTAAAAAATGCCAATCTTGAGTAATTTTATTCAATTGCTTCTTACTCTCGAACTGTCTCACGCCATTTCGTGGCAGAGGCACTGTTATAAAGAAGAAGGTTTTTCTCTTTCAAACAAATAAACATAAGAAATTCCACCAAGAAGAAAGAAAGTTATGATTTTTTGAAAATCTGGCGAACGAACTTTGTGACCCACCTAACATTTTGTTCCAAAATTGAATTGCTGTACTCTAAAGTAAAGTAGGAGAACTGAATTGGAAAAACTAGGCTCAAGCTCATTTTCGTGGATTAGCCATCGCATTTTTTGATAACTTAAACGCATAATATGACACAATCAAATCTTGTTACCAAACAAATATTCAGTTTCTGTAGGGTAAAACCTCTCAAGTTCACTAACGCGAGGTCCTAGTTGTAGTGATTTCTGCTGTAGTTGTGGTCCGGGTAGGAGCTGTTCGAACTGTTGTTGCTAGAGTTAAATGTTTCTTTAGGTTGCTCGCATTAATTTGGCAACAGAAGATTGCTTACTTCTAACGGTAGTTATCTCTTGCAGTGTAGTATTGATAGGAGCGGGTGTAGTTGTGGTAGTAAAAATAGTAGTAGTGGAAGGTGTCACAGTAGTAGTAAGTATAGTAGTAGTAGAAGGTGTCACAGTGGTAGTAGAAGGGAAGCTGGATGTTGAAGCTAAATTTTTCTGCTCCTATTTACGTTTATCGAAGTACTTCGGGTTGACTACCTGTTCTGATACCACATGAAATTGATGGTATAACGTATCCATCTGGAGTTGCCCAAGTCATCATATTATTGCAAGTGAGATCCATTTGTAAAGGAGCTGCTCCGTTTCGGAAGATCGTGCCACTTACAACTAACGCCAGTTCGTCGCTAGGCTAGAAATTGAAGTGCAATTTTGAGGATTCCATTTGATTGAATTTTGCAGAGATACCTTATTTCCTTCACATGTGAGTGCAGCAGTCATGCAAGTACCATTTCTGGATGTGAAGAGAGTGATAAAACCGTTTTCGTAACCAGTTGTTAGTGGAACCACTGGTAGGCGAACACATCTCTTGCATGGATCTCAAAAATTCATTTGTTAGAAAAATTGTATCGCTTGCTGCCGTTACCGTATCAGCGGGTTTACTAAGCAGGCTTACTCTCAGACAATTCCCGGGAACTTTTGAGGGCTGTGGGAAAACTTCCTCGGGAAATTCCTAACTGTGTTGCTATTGACGTCGAAGTTCTCGGGAAGTTCCCTCACGGCTCCGTTCACTTACGTGCTAAGTGAAGCCCTCGGGAAGTTTGGCAAACTAGCTTGCTCCTTGGGAAGTTCCCGTGAATTGTCTGAGCTTTTCCACTGCCGGCTCTGCTACAGAATTTGTACACTTTCTTACCTATTCCGGGAGATGGAGTGGTTGCGGTTGTTGAAAGTGGTGCTTCAGTAGGATTCTGTGGCGTAGAGGTGACGCCCCCAAATCGTACTACAACGCTTATTGTTAGATTCGATGGCCTTCTTACTTTGAAATTGACTTACACTGCACCAAGCAGGAAACATTTCTGACAGTGGCACCATTAGTGCTCCTCCAGGAAGCATCTCTGTTGCATGTGAACCTTGCTTCTTGTGGTCCCACACCGCTCAACAAGGGTTCCGCTCCGTTCAACATTAGTGTGGCGGTTTCGTTCACCTAAGCGATTACACGACTTCCTAATGTGTCGTAAGGTAATAATACGGAATTTTCCCACCCTAGTCGGTATGCAGCTGACGTCTACAAGCAAGCAATCATTATCCCAAGTATGATCGAGCACCATCATACCATTATAAGTATCCGGCATAGTCATCGGATGAGCAGGCATGTTGCTGCATGCTCCGCAGAGTCCTTAACCAGTAACTAGATAAACCAAAATCCAACGTTTCCAGCTGAGTTTGGAGTTGTGAAACCAGCAACTTCCTTATCTCCTTGGTAGACTAGTTTACCAGCTCCGTGTAGCTTACCCAGATTTCTCGAAGTGGTCGATACCACAAAAGATCCTGTCGTAGACACGCTTGGGCTAACACCCGTTGTCCGCAATGTAGTTGCTGCATCTGTATTGTAAGAGAAATTATGTGGAAAGTTCGAGTAAAAACAATGAAGAGGCCTTCCAAAAGTGAATTTACTCTTGTATAAGTGTCGGCATGCCCAAGAGATTTTGATGAGAAAAGACCAAAAATATTTGGATATACATAGCAGTTTACGTCCTTAGTTCGTTTTTCAATTATTTTTCTTTCAGAAAGCGAAGAGCGTTTGTTTAGCCCTCATTGTCAACATCGCCCAACGATTCTCACAATCAGAATCCTGTAGGATGACAGTAAATCTTGCTACTAACTGTTTTTCAAGCTCTATGCCACATTGATGCAAATGTGAATAAAAGTAAAGAAACAAAACGCAAAGACTTCAGTTGCCTGGCTCGTCCCGCTACCTGACTCATGAAATTCAAGTATCTTAGGTCAAAAATTAAGTACATGAACAAAAACGGAAAGTGAGTGAAAGAAGTGAATGTTTGGTTGTCCGGAAAATAATGTCGCATGACATCCTACCGCGACAGAATGACCACAAAAAAGAGCGAATGGGGTATTTTGATGGAGCAAAGCAAGCCCTACAAGGCAGTTTACAAACCTCCGCGGAAATCTTGCTCCCCTTGAAGTTCGAATCCAAAATACAAAAAATTTCAGGTACCCAAAAAATCGGATCTCCGTTCACAGACGTCTTAGGGATCTCCAATTTGCACAGGCATGTACTCTCCACACTAAACATTCACCTGTATAGTTTGTGTATTTTTCCACGGCAGTACGACAAACAAAAATAGGTCAAAAGTGCGAATATGTCGTGTTTTGGGGGTTTTTTGCAAACAAGTTGATTTTTCTCAAAATTACCGCTTGTCTAAAGCTGAAAAATCATGGTTATACTCTTAAAGGTCCATACTACAGAATGACCAATGTGAGAGGAGCCCAGGATTGCTTTGGGAAGACATTGAATTTCGCTTTCTCAATTTTCAGCCATGAAAAAAACCCGAAAATGTCATACGAATGTCGTGTACAGTGAGTCTATGCCTGAGTTAGGGGTTTCCAGGACTTAGCAAGCTAGGGTTCCCAAGACTTTTCTAAACGCAGATATGATTTATTTCTTTTTTTAGATCTTTAATGCCTTATGAATTGGCTTCAAACTTCACGCAAATCAAGTTGACGTTCAAGGTTTCAGCTTCATTTTGGCTTGCTCTGATCCATCAGTTGATAGCCCACTTACTTATTTTCATGCGCACCCTGCTGCAATATATCATGATAAAACACGATGCGACATTATTTTCCGGACAACCTAATACAACTTCCCTTAGAGGCAAATGGACATTGGAGATGATTTGTCAGTTTGACTCTTACTGTGCTACCGTACCGCACTTCCTAGCATACAAATGACCAAATCGTAGTTGTCAATGGTATTCTCGTCGACATAGAATTTTATGATAGGTAATGAGAAATGAGAAGCAGACGAACGAATGGCACATACTCACGCTTTGAGAGCCTATGCTTCGGTTTACTTTGGAAATACTGCTGAATTTTTCCAGGCTAAATACAGCTGATTTCTCTGCCCAACAAAGTATGCGTAAAAACGCTTTCCGCAGGTCCTGGCGAGCACCTGGATTCGGAAAAAACGCACTATGCTTACCAAAAAAAAGCCTTCAAAACCCAAGTGTCCCAATCAGAATTTATCTCAATGAAAAGGCCTCAAACGCTGATCACATAAAGTGGCCTTACACATTTGCTAATAAGTGAAGCTGAACGTGTATCTCTGCTTTTGAACTACCGACGATTGATACAACTTCACATTTACTTTCCTGTCCGGATACCTGCTTCAGAGTTTGAGTAGTCAGTTATACGCTTCAATCGTGTGAAATTCGGAAAATAAGGAACCAGAAAACACTCGCCTTAATCTAATTCGCGGAAAGTTACCAAATGCAGTGCCTAAGCCAGGACAATTGCTTGTGACTTTTTTCACTGCAGTTTAGTAAATGTGGAAGGCAGATTTGGAATCAGCATCTCAGGGCAGCCACTATGGTTTTTACGACATAGGAAAAGGCCATTTTGAGTCAGAAGCCATTCTTTTCAGAGAAGAATAGGTGCTTCATAAGTTTGGTACGTAATATTCGCCACTAGACTCACCAGAAACGGTTGCCTCATTCGTGAGATTTGCTGCCGTCGTCACGGTCACCACTTGTGTGGACTGCGATTGTGACACTGTGGCTGTTTCCGTCTCTAGAACTGATGTAGGCACAGAGCGGGTTATGGGAGCTGCGCTCGAGGCAGTCTCTGACTGAGTAGATGGCACAACAGACGAGAGCTCGCCACCAGCGCTTGTCGCATCTGTAGTAACCCTTGCAGATTCGGTTTCTTGCTCAGTCGTCGCAGTTGGAATTTCGCTTGCTTGTGTTATCGGTAACTGGGAAGTTGTCAGGAATGGCGCAGTATTGGTAAGTGACGAAAATGCTGTTGAGATGAGAGCAGAGGTTACTTCAGCTACTGTTGTCAATGGAAGGCCTGTTTCTATTGAGATGGTCTGCTCAGCCGTAGTCTCTGTGTTGGAAATGTCAGTTTCTGTTACAGGAGATACTGAGGAAGGAGCAATGGACGCAGTATTAGTGGCATCTGAAGTCTCAATCACTGTTGACGTCGCCATAGAAGGAGATCTCGTCATTATTGGAGAACCGCTGTTTGTGCTTTCAGTTTCTGCTACCGTAGAGGTTTCACCTTCACTAACTGAGTTCAGGGGAGGAGCTGATGACTGCTCAAAAGTCGTGAGTGGTCCTGCCGTTGGAGAGGCTGGAAGAGCAGATGTGGGAAATTCTTCCGGACGAGATGTGCTAAGATCAGCAACCGTAGATTCACTTTCTGACATTGTAGAAGCAACTGTTTCTCCTGCGGATGACGTCTGCTGTGCAGAAGTCTCAATTGGCCCCGTTGCTTCGTCTGTTTCAGTAGGAGTGGCGGATATTTCGTCCGAAGGAGGTGTAGCATCGCTTTCATCAAATGTTGTCTCCATACCTGGCAAACTCGATGTTGATACTTCCAGCGTTGTTTTAGCCTCTGTAGACTGTAGATCAACCCCAGATGTGTTCTCAGCGAGTGGAGTTGAATCTATTGCCCCCGTTTTTGAGTTGGGAGAAGTTGTTTCCTGAGGAGCACTTGAGAGTGAGGAAGAGTCTTGAACTGTACTGGTGTCTTCTGGTTGTTCTGTAGTAACTTCTGAAGCTAGTGTCTCTACTTCTCCTACAGTTGTTTCACCTATCGTAGGGAACCCTCCAGTAAAAGGAATGGGTGGTAAAGTTTCTTCAGTAGACGGTGTACTATCAGCTATACCTAAAGTTGATGGTTCTTCAGGTGGAAATGTTGAGCTGTTTTCACTTAGATTGGTAGTATCCGTATCAGTTTGACCAGGAGAGGTATCAAATCCTGGCACCGAACTGCTGAAATCTTGGTTGGTTGTTTCTTCAAGCACGGTAGACAATTCATTTGGAGGAGTTGATGCCTCCGAAAGCGATGATGATGCCGCTATGGTTGTGTCTCCTGCAGGAAATGTTGTACCGTCTGGTATATCTGTGGCTGGGGATCCATTTGAAGAAATTGTGCTACGCTCGCCCAGTTCAGCGGTTTCTGTGCTTTCTCCAATAGTCTCTGTTCCCTCCACAGCTTCTGAAGTAGAAAATTCCGGAAGATTCGTGGAAATCTCGTCTGATATAAGACTTGTCCCATCGGTCATTGTTTGACTAGTTGCTGGCGATTCCGATTCAAAAGCAGACGAAGACCCAACCTGCGGCTCCGTTGATTCTAATCCAGATGCTGAAGTCGTCATTTCTGTGGTATCTTCCACTGTGGATAAGGGATTCGTTTTATTATACCACGGTCTCGTAGAGGTAGAGGTTGGAGATTTGTTGACTGTGGTTGGGATGGCCGTCGACGGATTGAGTGGAGGGAACGGCGGCATTCCTGAAATCATCCGGATTCGTTCGGGACTTCTTATGGCGCGAAGTTTGTATGCTCAATTAACTTTATGGTCTCACTCGGTTCTCAGATTTTGGAAAAATACAAAGTCTAATCCCACTATTTCTAGTTGACAAATTTTCCCTTTTAATGCCGAAGTAATTTTTGGATGTACTCGCTTGTAGGATTTTTTCAATCCATGTAATCTCTATTCTTTCCCAAACTCTCAAAACTGATTCTTGAACAATTTATTCACAAGGAAGGATTAGAATTGACCATCTCTCATTTGACAGGTGACGTTCGAGATAATCAGCTGCGAGCGAGTGTCCATCCATTCCGTGTCTTCCGTGCATACAAGAGTTCGATTGACTGTGTTCCCGGTAAGTTCCACAGATTGGCCATTTTCAAGCAAGTCGACATACGTGCTGCTCTAGAATTTTCTCATTTGCTCTGATCCAGGGTTTTGATTTGGTCAAAAAAACAGAATAGAAGCATACAAAAAGCTGTTTTTGCAGAGTTTCGAATTTATGTTGCGAATTTCTGGAGCTGCTGGTCTCTACCAAATGAAAGGCATGTTTATCTTATTCGTCTCTTCCCTTGATACTCGCGCAAAGAGAAGTAAAAAGCAGATTCGTTGAAAGTATCAGGCTCTTCGGAGATAATATCGCATCGGCTATCATGAATATTGCAGCATGAATAACACTACTATGTGACAGAGCAAAGCAGACACAACAACGAGGCTTATATATTCGCAACAGATATGATTTACGCTAAATTTGAATCCAGTCTTTAAAAAAAATTCCTTTTCAGTCCAAAACACCCTAAGACCCTTAACCTGATTACGCACATACATTTATTCTGCAACGGGCACTACATGCGCAGTTTGGTAAGTTCCATGGATAGAATCGAGAAAACGAAATTTGGCATGCTTCTGCTAGCAATTCCTCAGACAGTCGAAGGGATACCTCCGGCGGGCAAATGGCGCGATCTGCCACTTCGCGCTCTGAAGCGCTCCTGAGTCCTGCCATTTCACCCATTTTGGTGCTCCGGGGCTCTCCAAAACCTGGCGCACCTCCGGAGCAGAGATTTGCGCGTCCCGGAGAGGGGTCCCATTCGTTCACCGTGTCGTCACCGTGACGTCACAAGCAGGCGAATGGGACCCCTCTCCGCGACGCGCGAATCGCTGCTCCGAAGGTGCGCCAGAGGGAGAGCCCCGGAGCACCAAAATGGGTGAAATGGCAGGGCTCCAAAGCGCTCCAGAGCGCGAAATGGCAGACTCGCGCCATTTGTCCGCCGGAGGTATCCCTTCGACTCTCTGAGTCTGAGCTTCTCTCAGATAATTGATTCTATAGTACGAACCTTTGTATAAGATAAGATAACCAGAAATTTCGAGAAATTTCAAATTTATCGTAGAAAAACCCGAAGAGCGCGACATAATCGTATTTTTGACCGATTTTCCTTTCTCGCATTCTATCCATGGGAAATGTCGCAAACTATACACGTGAATGTCCTATGTGAGCAAATGCCTATGCAAAGTGAAGATCCCAAATAATTTATGGGAAATACGAAATTCCCGGCATTCAAAATTTTATATTTCGGCTTCAAACTTTTGCCGAAACAAAGTTCCCGCGAACGTTCATCTTGTAGAGTCTGCTTTGCTCTATCAAATGTACCGTACTCAGTTTTTTTCATGTCTACCCTGCCGTGGTAGATGATGCGACATCATTTTCTTTTACCTTATGCTTAGACAAATTGAGATCTCAAAATAGCATCTCAGCATCTTTCCCATCAAAACAAGCAAAGCAAAAGCGAATAAAGCCAACTAAAGTGTAAGTCTAAAAACTACCCACATTTACGCCCGTTACCTTCAGTGGTTGGCAGAACAGCTGAACGGAGAGACATTCCTCAAAACGGAAATCCATGTACGTTGATCCTTCCTGTCCAGTTCTAGGACTGACGTATACTTCGGTATTGCATTGATTGCAAGGGTTATTCGGGTCTGCAGCATTGAGTAAGTGCTGAGAAATTGGGGAAAACAGTAATTACCTCCCGGTGCGAAAGTTGTAGTCGTTGTTTCTGTAGTTGTAGTCGTTGTTACTGTAGTTGTTGCTGTAAATAAATACCTTAGATATGACCAGAGGCTTACCGGGCTAGTGTTTGATCAACTATGTAGGTCGTAAAATGAATTTTGCTGCATTTTTGCCGTCTTTGTCTGAGAGATCTAAAAATTTTGGCTCAGCCTTATCTGGCATATATGGGAAAGGGACAAAGGGCTAAATTAACCACCTTCAAAGATATAAGATATATATAAATAAGGGCAATTCTGTTACAACAATCAACCTCCATTTTCTCTTTATCTCTCAAAAATCCTTTTTCTCTTCTTTGTTATAAATCCGGACTTTCTCATGGATTTCTAGGAATGTCAGTGCTAATATATGCTAGTTGGGAAACTTGAGCGTTTCAATATTGGAGGTTGGAAATTTGCCAAAAGTAATCCGAAAAAGCTTCTGAAAATTCAAAAATGAGATTTTTTATGTGTGACATGTATCTAAAAGCTGCAATCTCCACGGAATACTTTTTTGATACAAGAAAATTTTTGAAGGTAATTTTGAGGATTACTCCTCCAGGTGTAGCAAAACTTTCACGACCTAAAACGTCGGTCCAGTATCCAAACTTACTTGGTGGCTCATAGATACAAGAAAGGGAGTTGACTCTTAAATTGCGTCCCTGTTCGTACCATTGTCCGTTCCTACAAGCAACGTCCACGTTCAATGGCAGGTCATCGATAGAAGCATTTCTATTGAATAGTGTCCGTACAGGTCGTTCATCACCAGCCTGGATTTAGAAAACTTGATGATAAAAGCTTTAATTCATTCCGGTCCAATAAAAGGGCAATAGATAACAGGTTCTAGTCAAAGACCATCCAAAGTTCGACCTTTGCATAAAAAAAGAGATGTGAGCTGTTACAAGAGCAATATTTCCGGCACATGCCAAAAAAGTTGTCTTTCAAAAGATTTCGATTTTATAATACAAACCATAAAAGTTTTTGCTGAAAGGTGGAGCAATTTTAAATGATCTCATTGAAAGTTCTGTGAGGAAATTGGATTATAGGCTCGTGAAAAAATTTGCAGCAAACTTCGTGAGAAGTGTTGTAACAAAATTGCTTTCCCATCTTCTGAAAGAGATTTTTGCCGCTGGTGCTCTTCAGTAAGTATCTAAATTACCCTGTTCAGAAGCATTAGAAGGCGCTTTCGGGAGCAATTAATACATCTGCAAACTATAGAATAATCAGAAATCGTACCTCAAATGGACGACAAAAGAACTGAACAAATTTGCAGCCCCTAACAGAGTAACGATTAAGAACAGAGGCACCATCTTCGAACGGATCATCATCGTATAGGTGAACATTCAACTCCGGACAATCGTCGCAAACTAAATGCAAATCTTTGAAAAAAAGAATGCCTTTGTTAAATAGAGCACTTACTTGGTGTGGCAGTAGTGGTAACAGGTTCTGACGCTTAAATATATGAAATTATTGCAACAAGCTTCAAAATAAATCAAATAGTTTGTGAATCATTTAAGAAGTGCTAAACCTTGTGCACCACCCTAATTGTAATAACAATTTTTGACCCATCTCCAATTGTTCAGGCATCACCAATTCGTAGCAAACATTGTCCATGTTCAGTAGTCTCAAACAAAGAGTTCCCTACTACTCATTCACATTAACACCAACTGTGATTAGCTGCTAAGACTTTTTTCAAATTTTTGCGGAGATTTTGCGGATTTTCCTATCTAAAGAGTTGTCATTTTTGAACGATTTTGCACAAGTGTATAACTTAAAGAACCTCTTGTTACTGGATTTGCAGTCGCTGTCTCCACATCTGTGTCGCTGTTCTCGTCTGTAGGCACATTTGATACTACATCTGTGGGCAGATCCTCAGCAGTAACACTCTGTTCCTCCTTAAAATTGATTCCTTGTCAAATCTGCTGTACAACTGTGTATATCGCTTACAGATGGCGTTGTATCCGCTTCAGTAAATGAAGTGAAACCGTCGCTGCTGCCGCTTGCGACATTCTAAACACAAAGAGGTCACTGCAACCTACTATTGCTGTAATCTGCGAAGAAGAGAAAAGGAGAATACACAATGATATACATAGTCCAGCAGAATTACTGCTTCGCTACCAGTATAAATCACTGCGGAAGCTTTCAACTTCAGGCCGCTGTCCCAAATTCTGATCAGTGACCGGGGCATTATGCAGCGACATTTGCGGCAATAAACGCCCTTATGAAGTACAAAGTTGGATGCTTACTTCGAAGGACGTTCTTCGCGGTGCAAAAGCAGATCCGAAATAAATTTTCCATGTTGCACCTAATTAGACGATCACTTGCTTGACTTATCCCCCTTATATGGAGCTATTGACCAAGTCCGAATCCGAACCGCTAAAGTCACATGTAGTGTGGGAAAATGCTCTTGAGCGCTTTTATTGCCAACACGATACCTCTTTGCCTCCCGAACAATCGTTCTTTGAGAATTCAATATACGATGGTTTTATTTGAAAACGTGTCGAATTTTGCTTTTGGAATCCCTAATGCACTTTCGTTCAATTACTGCTTTGGTATAGCTCTAACGTCAGCTTTGCTTCTTATTTAGATGAGAAAAATATTCGCCATGAATACCCGATCGACGGTGGAGTTATCATTTATCACTCAAGCTTTTCGAGAAGAACTCTCTGTAGAAGTGGGCTACGGACCATACTCCGATAGCTCCTCTTAACTGTCATTTGCATATGCAGAATTCACTAGAAAACAAATTTTCCCGGGTTCTGCCCCCACGACCTTTGCATGATTCAGAACTTGGAAGGAAAATTCACCATTTAGCTCAAGCTTATTCATTCTACAGTGTTCTGGTCACTATTCTGTACCATAATGGATGAACTATTCCTGTTTGTAGTGCTAGTACAAGCTGGCTCTGACCAAAAAATGTTGAAGGTTAAATGATTTTTTGCCTGATTTTTAAAAGATTTGGCACACTCTTTTTACATGTCAGCGCATAAATAACGTCTTACAGGGGAAGGATACTTGGATGCCGTAGCCAATCATAATGATTTGTATACCAAAAAATGCGCTTTTGAATACGGTTCGTAGACTGTCTTTCATATCTGCGAAACGGTAATCTGAATGGAGTTATGATTTTTTTTTTCATTAAAAAAATTGCGTTCCTGCGGAGGGTCAAAATCATCAATAAAAAAATTTTCTTTCCTTTCCAAATGCTGAGTATGATCCAGATAGTCTAAATAAATATTACTACGTCTAAAATTTTCTTCAGTAGCATCAAACGGTAGGCTAGATCAAATCTGGTGATTTTTACTATCCAAAAGTAGCCTAAATTTTCAGGGAAAAAAGTTCATAACTTTCTTCAAAAGATCGTTTCGCAGATTTCGAGCACAGATTCAGAATCTGCATTCGAAGGCGCATTTTTTGGTATACAAATCATTAGGAATGGCCGCGGCATCCAACTATCCTTCCCTTGTTAGTGAGACGACGCAAAAAGCAAAACATCACTCACAGACTCCGTCGTACCCGCTGAGCCATTCGAAGTAATTCTCTCACTTGTATCAATTGTGGTACTCTAAAAATTGGTGATTTGAACCAATAATTAATCAATTCATGTTTCTCAACTCTCTGATTTCCAAGGCTAATTTGTAGCTTGCTACTCGAAAGTCTAACAAACTGCGATTGTTACATAATCATAGCTTTTTTTTACAAAAATGATCACTCTTTACATTTTGCGAAAATCGCAATAAAACTGATGATAAGACCTGACTGTTCTTTGCCGATTTGAATTTTATAAATGTTTGCAGCTCGTAACAAAGAAAGAATATCGTTCGTTCCTACATATAAGAAATCTTGAGCAAACTATCCCAAGCTCATACTTCCACATGCGTAATAAAACATGGATCTGATATGCAACTTCTCAACAAAACATATTTACTTACAATTTCTCCCAGCTGGGTCGTTTCGATGTTAGCAGGTGTTGATGTGAGTACTGGTAAAGCCTCTGTAGAAGAGGACAGGTTGGAATCATCGGTGCTGCTGCTAACTAAAGATCAACTCATAACATCACAATAAATCCTTCTTGTAAGGTTGCTATTCCTAAGAAAAATCCTTCTGCTTCTATGGACTTGCAGTTCGCACTTAGCAAAGAATCAGAATGCACAAACTTATTTCGGATCAAGATTTATGAGGATACTGATGACAAAAGGAGCTAATGAATCAAGAGTGAGCTAAACCCATAATCATTCAAATTTTGCATTTAGCGTTTTCCTGTAGCAAAATGCATGGCTTCAGAAAAATTCAACAGAGAAGAAATTTCCAGCCTTGAAAAGCGATACTTGCCCACTCTTACTACATAATTAGTAGACATAGAACAGCGTAAATTTGGACGTATCGAAAAAAGGAATCAAATTTGGATCTTGCTGGCAGTAGACGTACATGCTCTCATTTTGAGTCACAACAATTCAGTTTACTATGTATGTATATGGGTCATTGCTACTACTAGCTTACGCTATAACTCAAAAATCACAAAATTCGAAGCTGTTGAATTCAGTTTGTGCCTCCGCATAAGTCAGTAGCATCTTTCACTTTGAACGCTACTTGAAATCACTTCTTCTTCCTTTCTCCAGAAATTATCTAAGTCAATCACAAATCTATTTGAATTTAACAGGACTTTGCTAGGATGCGAAATCCTACTGCCATAACTTGTACACTTAACCAGCTTCATGTGGATGTTCTTATTCAATTATCTCACAATTTTTAGCTGACTGCTTTCTGCACAGGATGAGCAGAACGAATAAGCTGGGAAAAAGTTAGATAACATCTATTCAAGCTCAGTCATGACGTACTAAGCTCAATAAACACATGCGCCTACTTTTATAGAGAGAATGCAGCTAAAGATCTGTGGAGTATTCGTAGAAATGCACAGCTACAAACCGCTCATAACTAGTCAAAATAGGCGCCGAACTCCACCGGAGTGCGGCGACATCCGTGCCGCAGCCATACTTGGTTCAGTGGGACGAATCCAAACCTGAGGGCATCGCTCTACTCAGCTCGAAGAGAGGCATCATTTTATGTAAAAAGTGTCATTTGGATAGATAAGCAGTTAAATTCTGCAAACCCTTTCAGATTATTCTCTACGATACGTCATTCAGTGAGTGAAACGAATAAGCACGCTGATTGTGACTGGTCTACCATAAGCGAAAACCTAAGACGATTCTTGAGATCTGACCTCCTGCCCAGCAGGATATCTCTGTATATCAGAAGATGCATCTCACCGAGCTGAGTCGAACGGAATTGGATTCTTTCTTGCATTCAGAATTTGTCCACTTTAAACCAAGATGTGGCGCTGCGACGCAGATCTCGGCGCACTCCGGTGGACTTCGGCGACTTGACTTTTTTGACTAGTTATTGGGGTAAAGTATTTGTAGCTCACATACCCTGTTCTGTTGACAATGACATGGGTTCAGACGTGATGTCGATGGTGCTGATTCTGACCCTAAATTTGAGGTTCATAACAGTGAGAATAGCCTGGCTCGCATTGCTACTCTACATGCAACTCACGGGTTATCTTCGACAAGTGTTGTTAGTAAGGAATCTGTGCTACTGATAGGTTGCCTTGATTGAGTGGTGCTGTGTGCTGACTGATCTGGGGTGGAATCGGTGTTATCGAGTGAATTCAAAGTAACATCTTGTGTAGTTATTGGGTTAGTTAGGGGCTCTTCTGCAGTACTGCTGCCCTCTTCCGGCTCATCAGTAATGCTAGTTGGACGCACAGTATCCTCTGTATCTGACCCGGCGCTTTCTCGAGACGAACCTTCAGTCGCTGTGAAACTTGGAGTGCTTGTTACTGGGTCAGTCGATTGGTTTGTGTTCGTTCCGCTACCTTCATTGGTGTTACTGTGCTCACTAGTTGGGTAAAAAGAAGTGCTTATGGCACGGCTAACCCGGGTAAGCGTCTCGGTAGAGTCACTTCCAAGACCTGTAGGAGAGGAGAGGTGTGGAGTTGACTCAGACTCTTCTGCTGATTCTGCTTCAGTCACAGCTTTTGCAGTAGTCATGACTTCGTCAGTATACTCGTCCCCTGCCGTGGTTTCTTCAAAATCTTCATAATTTTCGTCAGTAGTGGCATGTGTGCTAGGACCTTTTGCAGTATCGGTTGTAGCTTTACTCGTTGAATTAACGCCTTCCACATAATCTGTAATGTGCGCCCCACTAGTTTCTAAGAAGCTCTGGCCTGTAGAAGTAGTTGTCTCTTTGATATTGGTCGTAGTATCAGTGACCGGATTGTAAGACACAGTGCTTGTCGTGCTAGGACCTTTTGCAGTATCGGTTGTAGCTTTACTAGTTGAATTAACGTCTTCCACATGATCTGTAACCTGCGCCCCACTAGTTTCTAAGAAGCTCTGGCCTGTAGAAGTAGTTGTCTCTTTGATATTGGTCGTAGTATCAGTGACCGGATTGTAAGACACAGTGCTTGTCGTGCTAGGACCTCTTGCACTATCGGTTGTAGCTTTACTCGTTGAATCAACGTCTTCCTCATAATCATCTGTAACCTGCGCGCCACTAGTTTCTAAGGAGCTCTGGTGTGTAGAAGTAGTTGTCTCTTTGACATTAGCCGTATCAGTGACCGGATTGTAAGACACAGTGCTTGTCGTCTCTTCATCACCACTCGCTTCCACATCTTGAGTGGTACTCGGCAAATTTCCGGCTGTGGAATCATTAGCCTCAGTCTCGCCATCATCTTCTGCACCATCATTGGTCATAAGTTGAGTAGTATCGTCAAGTAGTGCAGATTCTGAGGTAATCTTTGTTGTTTGAGCCGTGATCTCTTTGTTGTAGGTCGTGCCAGTTGATTCGGCATCTGTAACCGCTTTAGCAGAACTAGTGACAACAGCTTTACTTGTAGAATCAGTGTCATCATAATCATAATTATTGATATTTGTAGTAGCTTCTTCGCTATCAGCTGTTGAATCTTCGTCTGGAGCTGCAGTAGAAATGTCTATGTCTACGGCTGTACTTGTTTCATCTTCATCTTGTGGAGACCCAGGCGTGGTGGGCCGAGCTACAGGGCCTCTAGTAGACCATGAGGTCACACTTGGTGTTGTTAAGACAGTGGTTATTGTAGGGTTAGGTGCAATAGTGGAAGTTTCCGTGGCGCTAAAAACATTAGTACATTGGTTAGTAAAAAACATTGCTGTACATAGTCAACCTGGCACTTGACAGTTCCGGTTCCGAAGAAGAAGTTAGGAGCAGTGTGGAGGTCTGCTCTGCTAAAAGAAAAGGAACAATGCAAACAGCAAGAAATAAACAGTTGCTCTTTACCTGTTGGTTCAGTAGAGGAGAGTAATGTCGTCGAAGTAGAGGAGAGTAAGGTTGTCGAAGTAGTGGAGAGCAATGTCGTCGAAGTTGGATCTATACCAAAAAGTTTAAGCAATGAAGAGTCTGCACATAGCTTTTCAAAATCGTGACGAAGGATTTGATTGCGGTCGTTCTCCCACAAGAGCATGAACACATTCATAAAGGAGTCATCTCAGTGCTCAGCTCAGTCACTTCCAGTATCTAATTAGTATCATAGGTAAGCAGAAAAATCATTCAAGTAGAGGTAAAAACCAAGAAAATGCGACTGCTGGAGGTGCGTGCGTGTCATGCGCGGTCGCGCCATCGTCACGATTTTTCGAATGCCCTATAACTTACTTTCTATAATAAATGTCGTATTTATAGGTGCTTCTATCGATTCTGTAGTGGAGACTGGATCTGGATCAGTGCAGTAGACCACCTCAGAATATGTTCCTCTGGAGAAAATACCGTGATACAACTTCACTCTGCTTTTCTCATATCTCTCAAAGGCGTTGGCTCAAGCAACAATAAAGTCTACGACCCTGATGTAGTTCATTGGAGTAGACGCTTTCTATAGGATATACCAGCCAGATTGGTCGCGAGAGCCCACGAGATGAGGCTGCGCGAGTGCGCGCAGGCCAGATGGCGGTCGAGCGCGACAGCTCACCTGCTGCAGATTTACAACCGCGATCAAACCATCTCGCAACATTCTTTTTCTTTTGCAAATTGTTTACTTCAGCATTATTCTACCATCTATGATGTTCATTTCAGATGATCAAGTGTTGTTAACCGAAAAGGGGAGCTAACGACCAAAAAATAACGAGCTTAATATTTTTTGATTGTAGCAATTCAAGGTCAGAATGTTAATTGAATGCAAACAGTTTTCAGAGACTCTACGTTACCCAATCCGAAAATAGCCAAAAAAATGCAATGAAACTAGGATTAACGATCCAGCGGATATAATCAGAGTACCATACAGTCCGAATGAAAAAAATACAAATTGTATAAGCATTGTGAAGACGTAAGATCTAACCGCAAGCCCGCTTGCGCGCCCTACTTCTCCGCTGCTTGCGGCGCGCGTGCGTCGCCTAATTTCGTGGGTGCCCGCGACCGATTCTGGGTGATACCGCCTATATGCTGTTGCCCACACTTGCACTGCTTTGAAAATAAAAGGAGAGGAGACTCTTTTGAAACTCTTTTGATCCTCGTGAACAGGCAGAACTATTGCTACAGCATGGTCTCTCTAAGAGCTGTCGGATACAGGTCTGGATTTCTAAGAAATTTTGCCAGAATCTGATCAGATAATTTTGTTCTCATAGCAGTTTTTTCCCTTATTCTGAATTGATAATTCTCGTTGGCGATACACCAAATGACGGTGAGCTAGACACTGCGTCAGCCAAACGGGATCTCTTTCTGTGGCGGAAATTACAAGACTGTATCTCGGTCATAGCTTAGTGGAAGGGCCAAGATAACTTCAAAATTTTATTTAACGTATCTACCAAACCACTTATGCTGAGAAACCATAGAGATTTTGTAGATTTTGGGGAGCATTGAATTGTATGTGATTTTTTCTGATAAAAAGTAGATCACTCACGAGCATGAATACGATCGTTCAACCCTACAGCCCACCGGTCGAGGTTCACAAGTTCTGCAATAATGCGAATATTAAATGTCATTCAGATACGTTGGATTACACGAGTCCAGAATATCTACCGCAGTCTTGCTCTAAAGTTCATCAGTGAAGTTGTTTGTCGAGGACACGCTGTCCATTCACTCCATGTTGTCCATTCGCCGGTGGAACTGCATGATGACTGCGATTGTGCATTTGGTACTAGCAGTAGAAGAAGGAATATTATCATCTGCCTAAACACTTAGAAAGATGATTGCTGTTTGCTGACAATTTTTCAACTTCTAAATATTAAAAAAATTTTGGACTTAAAAAAGGTTGCTACAAATTTCATTGTCTTTTCAACGTACTCACCCTTCTTGTATTTCTAGCCCATACATTAATCTCATCTAACCAGTAGCAAATTCAAAATAGCCAATGGTTTAGAAGCTGATCGTTTTTTCGAAAAATAGCTAGTGGCAGCTGATAGTGCCATAAAGATAAATATAAAAAAAAGCGAATTCGGAGACAACTTTTTTGTGCTCAACACATCCTTTCGTAAGAAACATCTCACACAATAAAACAAATTGTTGACTACCGAAATAGCAATAAAGATCAACTTCAGTCTTTAGTAGCGATTGACGAATAGTAAAAATAAGTCCAAATTACGGATCAATCGATGATAATGGTAAGCATCGAAAAATCTATGGTATAGTTGGCAAGTGGTCTGTATACAGAAAAAAAGTTACCGGAAGTGTTCAAAATTGGAAAAAAATTTTTTATGCAAAATGCACGTTGAAACCGTAAAATTTACAAAGCTGTGCATGCATCAATATTTGGGCCTCAAACTAGATCTTATAATTCGACCGGATTTGACAAATCTCGACATAAAATAGCATAATCCCCAAAAAATAATTTCCGCTACGTGGAAATTTCCAGAAAAAATACATGGCAAACAAATACTTTCATGTTCCAGAACGTAATGAGAAACGATAACTTGCCTTAGTAGTACATAGAATCCAGTGCTATGTAGATTCAATGTAGATCCGATTAAAACCTGTAAAATGCAAAATCGAACTACGAACATCACTTTAGTCAACAGCTCATCCGTGAACACTGTATTGAGAAAAACGAGGATTTTCGAGGGCATCTGGTAGAGCAGAGTACGAACCTAGCGCTATAGATTAGTAAGCAAGTGAATTTGCCAGTCATCACTAGAAAAGACATGGAAGGAGGAATTTCCTTGGATTGATAGGGCTATGTGCTATTATAGTTATGTTCAAGATTTTTTGAGCTTCCGAGTTTTGGATAGATACTACTGCACTTGATTCTCACATTTCAAACTACTGTTTACCGGAAATGCTTCGTATCGAATTATTGAAGTAGATCATATCATCATATCTAATTCTACCCCTTTGGTTTTTATGATCTTCTGCAAAAGGTATGCATAAAGAAACAAGCTAAAGCTTTTTTTCTATCCATTATATCTTTTGATCCGACCTACACCTAGTAATATCCGAGCTAAATACTGGTCACGAGATTTTCTCGAGGAGGATTCAACTAAATAGCGCGTCTGAGACCCGGTATAGTTGAATACGTTTCACAGCGCAATAATGCTACTGTCCGAAAACAGTTCAAAAGGTTTTGTATGTAACATCACGCATATCCGGCCGAAACTGTAATGATTCTTTGCTGCAGTTCACGTGAAGTTTACATAGTTAAATATCATAATACCTAGATAAGTCCGCAAAAAGCTCTCTCAATTTGAAGTTATGTAGTTCCACAAAACTGCAAAACCTAAGGCTGACTGCCAGTGGCGTACCCAGTATTTCCGTTCGGAGGGGGGGGGGGGGGTTGTGGGGGGGGGGGGGACAATAAAAATTTCTCTGATGAAGGTGCGTGGGGTCAGTCACCACCTTCTCAGAAAAAATGATATGGTATAGTATGGTATGCTTTGGTATGGTTTGCCGGTATGCTTCCCAAAATTTTCGCGAGTCCATAACCCCGAAATTTCAGAAATTTGGAATCAGCTTTTGAAGTACATTTAGAATATATTAGGTCGTTCCGAAGTAATGTCGCATTTTTCAAATGAACGCCACATTTCGTGGAACTAAGATTCTCAAGAGCTATTGGGATCAGTCGATGCAGCATTTCGTCCTCTTTCTAATGGTTGTAATTTCATTGCATAATATTCAATGAATTCTCAAAAAATTACCAAAAACTCATGCTTTTTGCCATAGTCAAGTTCGGTTATTTTTCTATATTTTTGTACTGATTTCCCGAAGATGTACAAGTAACAGATAAATAGAGCAAACCCTAAAGGCCACAAAACAATTTTTTTCTTTTCCTTAGTTTGCTTCTTAGAGTTTGTAGAATCAATTTTTCAGTGCTATCAAATTCCATATTTGGTCAACTCAAACCTCACAGAACAACAACCGGCAAGCAACTCGGGTGCCATTAGACGCAGCTTTTTCTCCTCTTTTTACAAGTTCTTTTTGGTTTCCGATTCATAAATTTTGCCATGGAAAAATCATCATAATTCAGGTTTTCCAGGGCGCCCCAGGCTGTACCCGAAATTCCCGGTTGCCAATCTGAAGCGATAAATGCTCATATGCTTTGTAAAATTGGTGCTAAACCATAATCCACTTTTGTACGTTTCAGAATCCGAAAGTGTACTGGCGTTTGATGCATATGTGTTTGAGACCAGCCTGCAAAAATTCGGTGACTTCATTGAAAAATCTCTACAAAAATTATGGCGAAATACGGAAAGCAGAAAAAAATGGTACCGTTTTCTATAGGGTTTACTCTATCCATCCATTACTTGGACTCCTTCCGGGAATTATTACAAAAGGTTAGAAAAATTGTGAAACTTGACCTTCCCAAAAAGCATGGGTTGGAGATTTTAGTAATTTTTCAAAAGCCCATTGAGTATTCTGCAGTGAAATTATAGCCGTTAGAAAGAGGATGAAATGATGCATCGAATGCTACCAAGATCTCCTAGAAAACTTGCTTCCACGAAATGTAGCGCTCACTTGAAAAAAGCAACATTACTTTCGGAACGACCTAATATATGCCTTTAAACTACATTTCATATAAAAGGAATAGTAGGTTTTGTTTATAAAATTTTGAGTGTTTTAGTAATCTAATTTTCAAAGAATCGTAACGGCAACTCAAAAAACATCAGATAGCGGGAAACTCAACGTGGTCCCGTTTAGGATTACTGGTTCGCTAGTATAAATATGAAGAATAAGATACTGAACAATTTTTGGAATGGCATTTTGAAATTTGAATCATAAGATGAAGATTTGTAATAGCCAACACGTCTTTCAGCATATCTCTTTTTAAAAAAATAAGAATTATTGTGCTGGACCAAGTTATCACTTTGACTTTGTAATAGATGAAGATATGGTTTTTATTTATTCCACGCTCTATAACGTTCCCATGCTAATACGCTTGGATCCGAAAAAAACTAATTCATACGCTGATACAAGAACATAGATTACAAGAATCAGGTTTACGCTATGCATGTCTATAATTGACCCTGGCGACTGAGATAATGCTTGAAGATTCCTCACATATTGAATAACAATTACCAAGGATGAGTGTGAAGTCCCCCCAAGAGCATGAGGGCTGGTACGAGTGATGTAAAGATTATAATGATGAAACTTTGTTGTGTCACGTTATGTCTGTAGCCGAAAAACACAAAACATGAAGTGCAATGAAGGTTAATCTTTTTCAGATATTAAGATAAACTTCGCATGAAATTAGCATACAGTTATTCTTCACATACACATATATTGTTATTATCAACTGGACAGCTCTTTGGTCAAAATTGCACTGCGTGGCGATCAGAGATATTCTGTATTCTTCGATACGGTATATTCTTAAAGAAAGTGGCTTAAAAGCACAAAACTGGTAGGGAAATGATGGAAGTAAATAAAGTAATTAAGAAATGGTCTTTGCTATTAAGGACTAGATTTCGTTGATTGAAGCTCACACCTAAGCCGACGGACCCGAACCAAAACGTTAGAACAGTTAGAATCGCCGAACTCCGCTGTAATCGCTGCGGATTATCGATATAACGAGTATGACGGCACAGACAGAATGTTATAATGATCCAAACAGTAATCACCGCATAGTTTTTGTGATTAATTACCGAGTCGAATACCAGCGTTTGAGGGGGCCATTTGCGTTGGCTTTGATCGGATACATTGTGAAACTACAACATGTCACTGTTTGTCCGAAGTGCAACAAAGGCCATCAAACTGAAAACGTACATCATCATTAATGTTGCCAAGTCTTTGCTGACTAGAAGCGCTCAGCAGCAACACCCCTACCTTCTCTCCATTTTTTGTCCATTTTGTGTTGTTTCCAGAATCAAAGAAGCACAAAACAACTATCACTCAATTACGCTTCTGCAATGAGATTCTGAGTTATTAAGGACCCATGAGACATTCATAACTCCTAAGTGAAGGTTTCAAGATGAATTTGAGCAGATGAGGGTGGAGACAAGCTGTTGAAAAGACCAGCTCAATGAGACAACAAAATTATGATCGTTTCGGCTCTTTTACAATCAATCTATTTCCATTACTCTACCCTTTTTCCTACGTATAACCCAGTGATGGACGGAAGAGGGCAGGAGATGAAGAGCCCCTCTTCTAGGATGATAGCAGCCTCAAAATACAAACTTCTACAATCGATTTGTTCCTATTCGGGAAAAATCGACTTTACGATCTTTGAAGGAAAGGCAGACTCTTATGCAGTGCAGGTTTGTGAAACACTGCCTTACGTTTCAGCAACCCGCTGTCGGAGCCCTCAGTAGATAGTCACTTCGATCTACGTTCTCTCCAACAAAAACACCTTCTTCCACTTGCCTATTCGATTCGTTCTTTGTGAAAGTAGAAAGCCTGGAAAAAGAATTCACTCTTTTGTATGTCAATAAAGTAGCAACTGACTGCGAGTCGAAAATAAGCAGTATTTATATTACGAGACCGCTTACATACTGCAGACAATCTATAGGTCACAGATAGGCGGGTATACGTCAAGAATAACGGTAGCTGGTAATAGTGGCGCCTTGAGTGCCCTGGTGTCAATAAGCGGTGCACCGGTAGCACTGCCCCAGCTAGCACACGAGCTCACGCAGATAGTACAGCTTGTAGTATTATATGCCCAAACGTTTTTTTTTATCATTGCTTCATGCCATCGTTTCTGATATCTTTCTCGGATGGAAATAATCAGCAATTACAGGGTGTTTAATAAGCTCGTGGCCAGACTTTCAATTCGAATTTTGACGCGCTTTTTGTTTTATTGTGCTCATCAGACCTAAATACCATTATTTCACTGAAAATCAGGTTTCTTTGCGGTTTTTTTGATTTTTTTTACTAGATTGAAACACATCAATATAGCTTTCCAAACCTCTTTCCTTAAAAGCTTGTTACAAAAAAGGAAACATAGTTCACAGAAAACTCAGTATACCCCTTTCTTCAAGGTTTCTCAAATGTGCTTTTACTTTCGTAGAAGTAAGTTCGTTTTGAAATATCGTGCCTCGAAATTCAAGAGATCCACTTTCAGGATTTTTTCGCCAAAAAGTCGGCACCGAAAATTTTATATTTTACCTTCAAAACGTTTGCAAGCGTGCAAAATTTTTGAAAACAAATGCAACGAAGGTCGAGAATTGTGCTACAAATACATGTTGAAATAAGACTTCCAAATTTTTTCAAATTGAAAAATTTCAACTGGTGCCGCAACTGTCTGCTGTGATTCAGAACTTGAAAAAGTGTTCGTTAGCAAGCTACTGAAGAGCTTTTGTTATACGAAGAAAGTATCTAGGACTATTTGTAGTAGAAAAACCAAAGCTGTTTATCTTTTCCGGCGTTGAAAAAAGAACCAATCAGATAACGAACTCTCCAAGGAAACTGAAAAAATTGTCTACTTCCAAATTTTTTTGGGGTACCTTGAGGAAAAAATATTCTTCTTTGTTGATTCAGTGGTTTCTTGGTTTGGCGAACATATAGCAAAAATCGAGTTAGCGTTCGCAGTTGAAGTGCTTAAGGACGCGAACTTTTCGAACACCCTGTATATCACTGATCGCATGCGCTAGTAAAATTAAGCTCTCAAAATGTGAAATGCGTAAAGTCACTTTTGACTTCCTGCAATTTTACTTCATGCATAGCTCTGCCGTAACTATGCAGGAAGTAAAATTCAATGGAAAGAAATGAAATTTGATTTCTTTTTCTCCGCTTTCTAGAAGAGTGAGGGCGGGTTGTTCTGCACTCGCAAGCAGCTGGCAGCTAGCGGCTGGCAGAGCTATCGTTATTCTTGACCGCCACTCCACAAGGGCAGATACGGCAATAGATTATCTGTAATGGATAACTTCTCGTTTTTGCTGTTGAGTTTTGGATCACGAGGAAGTATGAAGGACGCCTCTAATGCTTTTTGTGCTGATATCTGAGGCTCGTAAGCTATGATTTTGCACTTTATATAATAATCCATACCGTTATGCTCTTCTTTCGTTGCTCTTGGTGGACTCATTAGACTTTGCCAATCGACCAGTTTTGCCGATATATTAGCCCCATAACTCTTTTCATACTCGTGCCTTCAAACTGATATTCCTCAAAGACTAAGGCATCCGCAAGGGCGCAAATTTGTAGGAGTATTTTTGAATGAATAAGCTGTATAATCACATATTTGCCAGGAGCATAGACCCTCATCACAGGCAAAGTCTGAAAATTTAATGCATTATCTTTTTCTTGATTTCTAGCCATCAGAAAGGTACAGCAAGTTTTATATAAATATCTAATAGGAGATTATATGTGTGAGCAAGTGGGTTGCAGAATGTTTTTGAACTGAGATAGATTATTTTCGTTTTTACCAGATTTTGGATTTTTTTTCCATTTTGTCTTGAGTTCCGATGCTGAACAAGCTTGATAACTTTTGAAAGCCGTATTGTAGAGCTTGCTTTGATCTTTCGGATAGTGCCCGCAGCCCAATAGAAACCTAATTGTAAGAAGAGCAGACTTGTGCTGTTGAAAAGTCAGATATGAAAAGACTTACGGGACAGCCTAATATAATGGATGGCAGAGCAGCCCAGACGTTCGAGTTGGTAGACGACACCAGGGATTGCGCGCAATTTCCGGAAATTCCATAAGGACATACTAAGTAGTCTTGCGAGATACAAGTTGTGTCATGAAGCCTATTGCGGACAAGCTTTAATTTGATGTTATCTCGCAGAACATCCTACTATAATAACGGGCTGTGTTTACGTGTTTTTGTGTGTGTGTCAGTCTGAATGTCTGTCTGTCACGAAATTCGTAGAGCGTGTTCCAGCCAACGTCCTGAGCTCAAATTTTGCATAGCACTTGCTACTGACATGAAAGTTCAACTTGCAAAAGCACAAGCAGATTCGTTGTGTAAGTCTCTTAGAAATTGCGCAACGGATCCACTTTGCATTTGGCCCATAAAACTGGGTCCGTAACACTTTTTGCAGAGTGGTGGATGTTTATGACAAGTAAATGTGCAAGCCATGAACGTAGGCCCAAAAAAATGACAAAAAGTCCATTGCTTTACAAAAACGGCGCCAAAAAGTATTGGTTGCATAAATGGTCAATTTGCCAAGGTTTTACCAGAGCATTTGAGGAGATTTTTGCACAAAAATTTAGCTCACAGTGAGTACTGTTCTTATGGCAACTGTCAAGACCATGGGAAAATCAAAATGTAAAAATTTGCGTTTTTTCTCGTTTGCAAAAAGTTTCATCCACGCAAAATGACCGATTTCACATGAAAATGCCTTCAGAATGAGTAGTTGTTTATATTTTGTTCGTGATACTCGGCATTGCTTGGTGAGTTTCAATGTCATCATTATGCGAGAATGAGTAGAGCCTAGACAGTAGAGCCAGTGAGAGCCTCTGCGAAGCAGAAGTGAAGCACTGGTTGACTAAAATAACATCATCATCCAAGTATGCTTGTTTTACTGTTTCACGCTGTTTTATAGCTATACTAACTCTCACAAGGGAATGATACTTAGTCGAAGTGAAGTTTTCAAATGAGAATTATACTACCACGTAGAGCATGAAATGCTGGCTTCGAATCTGTTTTAGTTATCTGCCAAAGCACTTCAAGGAGGGGAGTTATAGGAAAAAATTTTTGAGGCAAAAATTCGGCGGTTTGTCCAAGGTAAAAAAATTGTTGAGGCTTTCTGCCGTCTGGAAGAAATAATGACTAGCGTAGGTTCATAAGACTGGAGGTATTAACTGCATAAAGGGCCATGGCACTAATCATGGCACCATGACTACACTTCTGAGTGATTTTGTTGTAACTGTGCGTTGAAGTTTGATCCTCTACCGAAGCGCTTTGCAGATCGTGAAAGCAAATTAATTCTGTGCTACATAAGACGGTATACATATCATATTGAAATTCTACTTTGACCAAGTATGCTTCCCTTATCAGAGATAAAGGGCAAGCACAGAGGTGTTTTACATGCTTTGCTTGGTCTTCGCTAATATCCTTTTTGTTCATCTGAGTCGCACCTCATAGCCGTTCAATACTATGATTTCGGTTGTCAATTTTAGTGATTTTAGTCTTTCTTCTCATCACTGTAGATGTTCGCGGCGAAACATATTTCGAATGACGGCACGTTTAACACTAACTGAATGCGCTAACTGTGCTTGTAAAACGATATTTTTGCTACTCTCAATTCATTACCACTTAGTGCTCAATGCGCCATTCACCAGCATCGACTATGTGCTCGAAAAGGCCAGCCAACCGTTCCGTGCCTTTTCTCTTGTTAGACAGACGCACTGCGACTGTCGTTAAGTATTCTGAACATTCGCTTCTCAGACTGTTTTGATGTACCCTTTCCTTCAACCAGATCGGCGGCTGGAAGGCGGGGCTCTGTGACCTAATTACTGCTAAAAAATGATCGGAGCAAGTTCGCGAGGGAGGCGCAGACTGCGTCGCGGACGAGAGCAGCTGCCTCCCAGGTCATGAAGCCCGCCTTTCAGCGCCGAACTGAGTGAAGCAAAGGGTAACAATACAGCGATGTAACGACGCATATCAGCGGGTCTCGGAATAGCACTGCTTATTCTGTTTTGCTTTAAAGCATATTTCTAATACGGGTGCTAACCTTTGGCCTATTGCCAGCCCTCTAGTCTGTGCATAATATTTTTTAAACCACTTGAAATATCCCATACGCGACTGTCCATGAATCTCGGCATTGCGATTGTATCTTTCTTTAGATACCGTAGAATCTTATCAAAGTGTGATTGCACTATAGTTCTGCTCACCCTTGAAGCACAAAAAAGTCGGTGGTAGGCATCATGTACATGACGACTAAAGCGGCCTCTTCAGGCGCTCACGAACGCATCGCATCTTGATTAAAGCAGATAGCGCAGTTAATGGTTACGCTGTAGCGGGCAACCAATCAACATACCACTAGGAAATTTGCACACAGAAGGGCAGCTT